GGGAGCGCTGCTGGGATACTCGTGTGTTGTGGGAGCCGGGAGCTGGAGCGGCGGGGGGCGGCCCTCCGGCGGGCACAGCTCACAGGCGGTCCCCTCGGCTGCCCGGGCCAGCGCTCGGAAGGGCTCCTCGGAAAGGCCCCGCTGCCGCGGGGTGAAGCCTCAGGCGGTTGCGATGGCGGAGCCGGCCGTCAGGGAGCGGCTCCGCGCCGCAGAGCGCGGCCGAGGTGAGCGGGCGGCCGGCGGCTGCCGCCTTTTGCCCGTCTTTAAATAAAGGAAACGTCGCGCTTTAAACGCGAAAACGGCTTGGTCCTAATTTGGTTTGTAATTAAACTGTGTATGTGGAGAAAGCGTTCTTTCTCCGAATGCTTTAAGCATGCTGCTTGGCTATGCAAAGAAGTGCATAGTGTTGTAGTGTTTTTTCTGGAAGATCTAGTATTCGTCCAGTCAAGTTCACTCCACAGAACAGCTTTAAGGATTTTTGTGCCAACAGAAATCAAACTGCTGAGTTTATGGAATTGTGAACTAGGGATTCCAAGTAATTCACTTTCTAGTGTGCTAATGTTAGTGATTCTAAATAGCAAAAGACTTATTAGTGCTTCATCTTAGAATCGTGTCTGACTTTGAACATGTGTTTGATATTATTTTTCTTAAATATTCTTAATTTATTTCTGTGAAGGAAAGACAGGATATCACATAGCTCATTTGAATGCAATCAAGTCAGTCAATCCACCTTGAAGAATAAATTCTTTATTCCTTACATACTGCAGATGTTCAGGCTTTGAAGGATGCTTATGACTTGATCAAATCAGCCAGTGAAGGAAAATCTGCATTTGACTCAGATAACTTCAGCACCGACTTGTATGTTTTATGTGCTGAACAAGCACTTCAGGTTTGTAATTTAGACAATGTATCTGTATTGAATAAAAATATGTATATGACGTACTGTATTTACAGTTGTTAAAGCTACTGCCTCAAAAACAATCCCAGAAATGCCTGAGGGAAGTATTATGCTCTTCTGGTTTTGGAGAGCAATTGTTTAAACATGCATTTTCCCTTAAAACTCAGCCTCTGAATTATCACTTTTTTATAGTCAGTCATCAAACTGTGGTTTGTGAAGTTTTCAATTAGGCCAAAATATGGCAGGTATACCATAGCATATATAAAATAGTTTGCCATGCCTGTTTTTTCTTGTTATGGAAAACTTGAAGTTAGCAGTTTGGTTATGACTGAAGGAAATGTGTCTGTGAACAGACCCTACCAGCCGAAAGAAGGTAATCATTCTAATTATGAATCTTTTTTTTTTCCCCAGGCTGCAATCCAATCAAATTCTGTGGTCTGAAAATTGACATCCATATAAAATCCTGTCAGCTAATATCCATACTTAAAAAAAAATTCTGTTAAGAATTTTGTCTATTAATAATTGTGTTTAAAAAGAGACATTTTTTGAATACTGTAAGCAGTTATGTGACTGAGTGAGGAGTTTTGTTAAATAAGGAACCTATCTTTTCATAAAAGATGACTAAAATATGCCTTCAAATTTTAGTAAATTTTAATGGGCTTGTATCACATCCGGTACAAGTCTGCATCTTTGTGTAATATTGCTTGCATACGGGTATGCAGCTGGATGTTACCCCTCGATTAGGCATGCATTTTTAAAAGCTAACAGTTCTTAATTGTTTGTTGCATTTTTTAAATATTAAAATGCTTTTTTTTGGGTCTTAGATGGGATATCCAGAAATGAGCAGTGACTGTCTACAGATGTATTTTAAAGCAAGATTTCCTGTGAACCAATTTCTTGGCAGAGCCTATTTGTGCCAAGGCCAGTTGCATGCTCTACACTCTACAGATAATTTGGTGAGAAATTGTAAAGGTCGCTTTATATTGAGCCAGTTTTTAGAAGTATTTATTCCTAGGTTTTAATGTATTGCTTTCAGCTATTTTAAATACACAAGGATAATTGGAACTGTGGGAAAAATAAAAGGAAAACATATTGAGTAATTTGTGAGTAAACAAGACCAGCTGAATTAGACTAATATTTCAAATATTTTGGGGAGGACAATAAAAAGGAATGCTTGCAAAAGTTTTCCAAGCAGTTGATTTTTTTGAAGTCAACCTTTTCACTTTTTACTTAAATGTGATACTTTCAGACCGAATTTAGCTGTAACTCTTAAAGTGATTACCAGTTTTATTCAGGAAGCATTTCACGGGCTTGTGGGAACTGGAGGGCTAAAGGAGAGAGGTTGCAGAGTTACTTTCTGTGGCAGTGTGCTTCTAGCACTCATCAGTAGTGTTTCCATGTAGTACTTTGGATGTGGCTTTTTGTAGTAAGAGGTGGTAGCAACTCAGCAGGATACTTCTGTGTCTGTGTGTTGCTTTTAGGTGATACCATGTCCATAAGTGTTTACCTCCTGCTGATTTTAAAATGGAGTGGGATCTCTTTTATGTCTTCAGTATTTCGCTTGTCCTTGTACTGTGGTCAGTTAGCTTTGATAATCTGTTAATGGTATCTGACCACTGCAAATGGCCTTAACAGATGTTTAGAATCATGGAATATCTTGAGTGAGAGGGGACCCACAAGGATCATCCAGTCCAACTCCTAGCCCTGCACCGGACACCCCAACAATCCCACTCTGTCCCTGAGAGCATTGTCCAAATGCACCTTGAGCTCTGTCAGTCTTAGGGCCTTGACCATGGCACTGGGGAGCCTGTTCAGTGCCCAACCACCTTCTGGGGGAAGAACCTTTTCCTGAAATCCACCCTAACCCTCCCCTGGCACAGCTCCAGCAGTTCCCTGGGTTCTGTCACTGCTCACAGGGAGCAGAGATTGCTGCTGCTCCTCTGCTGCCCTTTGTGAGGAAGCTGCAGACCCGGATAGGGTCTGACCTCAGTCTCCTCTTCTCCAGGCTGAGCAGACTTAAAGCTTAAAAAGTATGCAGCTTTGCAGTTCTGGAAAATTTCAGTCCTGATAATTAGTGTTGGGCAGAAAGGAAATAAACTGAAAATACAGTTTTAAAATTTGAAATCGGGAAAACATAGTAACAGAAAACGCAACCAGTTTCTAGTTATTCTGTTTCTATGGCAGCAAGCTCCTATGACAGTATGTTTTAGCTGAGATTAGTCTGAAAATAAAATTTATGAGATGTGAACATATTAAAATAGGAAAATAATGTACTGATTTATAAAAGCCATATTCAAATTGCATTAGCTTTCATTTTGTTCTGTTCTAGGAGGAGTTTGAAAAGTTCGTGCTGTTTTTTATAAAAGCAATAGATTTTGCCCGCCACGATAGAAGGTAAGCCCTACTGATGGGTTAACTCTAAATCCCAGGAAATGTTACTGATTTAGATTTTCCGTTGTTTGTCTCAGGTTTTCAGTAGGTAACCTCGAGTTGTGTTGTTTGGGTTTTCTCTCTAGATTTTTCCTTCCGTTTTGTAACTTCTGTAACTGCTGTAACCACACAAGAACACTGAACTCTTAAATGGACAGGCTGAATAATGCTGTGTAAGGCTGGCAGACATCTCAACATTTCTTATGCTTTTGTACTTACGCTCTGTAGAGTGAGAGCACCATGTTAGCTGATTTTAAAGTAGTGTGATAAACAAAGTCTCAAGTTTCTATAAGTTTCAAATAATAGTTTATTATATGGTAAAAGCAAGCAGCCGGCTGGGTGACAGAAATGGGACCAGTTTCCCAAATCTACACACCCCTATTACAGGGTACATTTAGTATTTATCTTAGCTACTTCATGCATATTAATTGTGTCATATACATATAGATTCTACAGGTTTTTGCTAAGTATTTAATATATGGGTTTTCTTACAGCTAAAGCTAAAAGGGTTATCTCTACAACCAGTCATAATTCATGCATTCTTGGACGAACAGGCGCCTAAAGATTTAAAGTTCTACTATATTTTATTCTTAGGATAGTAAGGAGGTTTTAGGCCTCTTGACCTTGTAAGGGTCTGTTTTATTTCTTTATGGGGGTGTAGTTAAGTTTTACAATCCGTTTGTTTTATTTTGATGTAATCGCCCATTTGTTTTACGAATCACAATTATTTATATATCACAGTAGTATTATTGAGTAGAGCGTAGTTGCAAGATTTGCCATATTCTTGTGCTGTACTTGTCTTCTCAGTTATTGGCCAGGATTGGCTCTAATGAAAAGTTCCGATTTTTACTTCTTAGAAGTGTCTTAAAAAGCTGTAATGTTATGTTTATTCAAGTCCACGAAATGCTAAATTTTTGATTCTTATTTTTCAGATATTATTTTTTGATATATAATGCCTCAGTTCTTTATTGGCAACTTGTGAGGCCATTTCTTAAGCCTGGATTCCGCAATTGCCTCATTCCCAGCCTTTCTCAGATTGTTACAGCATTAAACCAAATTGAAGAGCAAGACAATGAATGGAGAGCAGAACTGATGATGTAAGTTTAATTATATTTTCTCATATGGGCATTCTGTAGTCCTCTTAGACATGTGGCTGCCACCTGAGGTGGTCTTTACTAAGGTGCATTTTTTTGGTAATGTTGTAGATACATTTATTGTGGAAAGCTTAATTCATAACTTTTTAAACAAACATGAATGTACTCAACATAAAAAACGCTTCATTTTAATATTTAATTTGAGGTTAAAATTTTAGTGGCAGAGACAGCTTTGCCCTGGATCTGATTTGAAGTAGCACAGTCATTTTGGATGTAGTATTTGAGTCATTCTTAGTAATTGGAAATAAATGGTGTATCACTATCAATGTATTACCATTCTCACATTTCTTGAGCAAAGCTGGAGCATAAACTTTGAGATAACTCTCCTGAGAGAGAGAGTTTTATGTGCAAAATGAGGAGTGTCCATGTAATTTTTCAAGGTCCCACAAGCTTTTCTCAGAGATGTTTTGGTCTGCTATTCTACAGACCATTTCCAGTTCCTCTTACACTTCTACCATAGTTTTTCCCTGTTCCCTTTCTCTTTTTGATCTTTTCTGGTTTTTTAGTCTGTGACTTATGTTTTATTGCTGTGCAGCATTTTCTTTATAAGCTGAAACTGGAGGGAAATAAAAAGTTGAGTGACAAAAACATTCCAAGGGGTATGCTAAGGACCATGTAGAATACCATGCATGCAGTTTTTTGATACTAAACATACTCTTGCTGAAGTGTTGATAAGAACAAGCAACTGCACATAATGTTTGTGTTATAAAACTAATGGTTGCATTTATTTTTCTTACATTTGTATTTATTTTTTAAATATTTTTTATTATGATTATCATTTTTGTTGTTAATTTATTTCATGGAATCAAAGGCTCTTTCTCAGTTAAATCAGATAAAGTATTGAAAATCCAGTTCCAGTTTTCAATATGAATAATTTTTTTTGCTAGATGGCTTTGACATACTGGCCTTTCCCATAGTTAAGGGAGAATCTTAGAGAAATTCTCCTACAATTTTAAATAGTTACTCCTTTTAATTTCAGATATCTCGTGGAGAAAAGTTTTCACAAAAAACCCCTTCTTTTCCAAGATCCTTTTTATGATCTGCACTAAATATGTGTTAACAGCTCTATATCTCTGGGATAAGCAAAAATGTAGAAGTTAGAGAATCTCTTCTATGCTGAGTCAGTGCTAATGGCTTGTACTGCATTTAGGAGTGGTACCTTGAATAGAAAGCATGTTGAAAAAATATAAATAAGAATTATTTCAGAAAATGTTAAAAAATATTTAATACAAGCATTTTTTTGATCTACAGAAATTTACTCGAGTGCTTCCTCGATGCTTCAAAACTGGAAGAAGCAAAAGAGTTTTCATCTACTGCAGCAGTCTTTATTAAGGAAAATGTTCCAGAGAAATACTCTCAAATATTTTCTCTAATGGTAATGCTGAAAAATATTTTAAACTCCCAGTAAGCCCCATTGAGTTGTTTCTCACTTATTAGTCACTTAGTCAATGATTATTCCACTCTTGTTGCTTATTTAGTCAATAATTAAATTTTTATTTTATAGGTGTATCACAAACTGATGGATATTTCTGAGGTAGAGAAGGACATACAAGATTCCACCCATTTTTTAGTTATTTATAAAATGCAGATGTTAAAATTGTAAGTATGAAATTGTATCCTTCCGGTTGTTCTTTGATGCTGCATATTATAGAGGCAGGTTCAGGTTCTGGTATCCCACGTGCCAGTAGGAAAATCTACTGCAAAGATTAGTTTCTTAAAAGGCAAATTACAATGACAGTTTGGGTAGTAACTGTCAGGCCTGTCTGGAGAACAGCCTCAGCTAAAAAGTGAACTAGTTCTTTGGGGATGTAGGGAGCAGTGTTGGACAGATTATCTCAGGAGAAAGAATGCCATTAATATCCAACAGACTTGCCATTCCATACACAAGTCATGTGCAAGAAAGTAAAGATGAAGTGGAGAAATCACACCTGAAATATAATGCATAAATCACAGGACAGGAAGCATAATGCTTTTTGAAGTCTTTACATTTTAAAGGGATAAAACAGTTTTGAAAATTAGACTTCATAACAAAATCTCATGTAATTTTTTTTCAATGTCTCAACATTTCCCCATTTTAGAAGCATTAATTCTTTTCTAACTAACAGTGCATTAATTTATGCTGACATTATAAGAAAGGAATTTTGCACACCATTTTTTTTTTGTTCTGGAATAAAATTTACAATCTGAAAGATTAATTCTTATGCTTGAATGTTCTTAGTGCTTTGTATCTGGCTGTCTCTGAGTTACTTGCCATACTGAAGTAGGTTTTGCTAACTTTTTTTTTTATATTTCAAGCCCCAAGTATCCTACTGATCCCTTGGACTAAGCTATCCATTCTGAAGTTAGAGTTATTTCAAAATTTGAATGCAATAATACTTCTCATGAAAAATTTTGACCTAATTCCTGATATGTTGCAGGCAGTGGGACACAAATAAATTTCCAAGTGATGCCATCGCAGAGCTGAATTCTTTATATGCACTTTTGAAACAATATGATTTACCTCCAGCATCTGTTCTCAGTGTGAAGTGAGTTTTACTTGTCATAGTCCCATGGAAGTTGGTTACAACAGTTTGTGTTGCTTTAATATGTAGGTCGTCTTAAAAATAGACAAAACCCTATTAGACTTTACTAAAGAACCCAGGATTAAATATCTTCTTCCATACAGCTTTGTGTCATATGATTAAATCTTTCCATAACCATTTCGTGTTAATAAAATGAGATTTTTCAAAGGTCTTAAAATTGACCTTAAAATTGACAAGTGCTTTTCAGACTGTAGTTAATTTTTAGCTTTTCTTGAGGCCCTTCCCAGTTCTTCAGCATGTTTGACATAGTGACCTCTATTGTAGTAGTTGTATCACAGATGTTGCATATGGAAGTAATATTTTTACTTGTAATGGTAAATCATCTTTGACAAACATTCAGGTATCTTATTACTTCTTCTATCCCAGACAGTTAGAACACAGTCTCTGTCTGTGTGTCTGTGTTCTTAGTTCCTAGATAGCAGACTGATGGATTTTACTGCTTTGTGTGCCAGTTCACTGCATTGTGTTTCCAAAATTACTTGCAATCTTAGTTTGTTCTTTCACCATCTTTGTCATGCATGCATTTAATTCTATATTTTTTGTCTTCTTCGGGAACTGTTTGTACAAGACTACATAGGAATATGCTAATTAAAAATGTTCATCATAAACAGATGAACTTTTGTATTTTTCATGTAGCCAACTTTAAACTTTTTCCTTTTTCCTTGTTAACTGTGAGCATTACTAGTGTAGTCACATGTTCTGTAATATTCAGATGACTTCATGGTTTTCAGATATATTTCACAGTTACTTTCAAGTAGTGTTTTTATAATTCCATGGAGGAGCAATATCAAATTCTCTGAAGTGATGGTTTTTTATTGTTGAAGGGTTCCTTTGATTCTGGAATTAGCTCATTTTTCTTTGAAAGTAAACTGCACTGAGTTGGCATCTCAATGTATCCTCGATTTGAAAAGTGCTGGGATTACTGTAAGTATTAATTACACTGATTTGGGGATTTTTGATTACATACACACACCCCTTTGATATTTATATTTAGTAAATAGTGCTGATGGTTCTGGGATCTTCTGTCCATCTGTATATTATTCGTATATTCATTAATGTAAATAATTATTTGGCTGAGTGATCTATTCCTAAGATAGAGAGAAGATGCCAGGTCAGAAGGTAGGATGTAGGTAGACCAGGATGATATGCAGTGCAGTTCATTTTGGCAAATAAATACTAACTGTAGATTTTTGCTTACATTTTTAAAATGTTACCTGCACAAGAGTTTGATTGGAAATTAAATTCAAATTTTTGTTATAATGATCCTACTTTGAGCTACTGGTAAGTTTATCCTCACTGAATATTTTTTTATTCCAGGTATCTGATTCAGGCCTGTTATTCTGAACATTTCCTCATGTCTAAAATCACACGCAAATCCATAGCATTCCACTGGAAGATGTGTTTAAATCCTCTAGATGAAAGATTGACAAGGATTTGAGTATTTGTGTAGACAGTAGTAGCAATTATCTGTTGTGTGGCAGCAGTAGAGAAACCTTGTTTCTATTTTAACCTTCTCCCTTGGAGTTGGTGTGCTTTTAAGTGACCACCTTCAGATTGCCCAGCATGGTTTGACAGCAACCCCTTCATAGCAGAGTGAGAGAAATCTGGATCTAAGTTCCAGTTCCTTGGCTTTTGCCAAGCACTGACAAATTTCTCAGCCATGATATGAACTCCACCTCTGTGTATTTGTCACACCATGACTGGGACAGTTCTGGGTTCATCTCAGTTTTCCACAGTCCTGTCTGTTTTGCAATCACAGGGATGTTAAATTAACACAGGTCATGCTGAGTGATTTGATAACATTGTAATGATTGAGGAATGGAGATGCTGTCTGAATTTCCCTACTGCACCCATTTAAACCAAATGAAACTTATCTTAAATGTTTCTATGATCCATACATATAAATTATATGACTTAACAGTCAGATCTGTCCTGAGGAGTTGAAAGTCTAGCCTCTTTTTTTGCTTATATGTTTCACTACCCATCAAGCTGAATCCTTTCTATCTTGACTAGTGCTTGTTTATTCCAAGCATGTACCTTTTTAATAACCTTATTAAGCAAATGGCAGAGGGTGGATTTAAATCAGATACAGGGAAGAAATTCTTCCCTGTGAGAGTGGTGAGACCCTGGCACAGGTTGCCCAGAGAAGCTGTGGCTGCCCCATCCCTGGAAGTGTCCAAGGCCAGGTCAAACAGGGCTTGGAGCGACCTGGGCTAGTGGAAGATGTCTCTGCTCATGGCAGGGGGTGGGACGAGATGAGCTTTAAGGTCCTCCCAACTCAAGCAACTTTGGGATTTTATGATTTTACTAGAACTAAAATCAAATTACAGTATAGAAAAAGCAGCTATACACTGATTTTCTTACTGAAAACTCTGGCAATGAACCACTTAAAACTTATTTTGCAGCCTCAGCTTAGTAAAAAAGAACTGCTGTTCAAATAAATTCTGCTTCCTTTGCATTGTTTCAGTTGATTATTTCGTATAGTGGGATTTTCAGTAGGAAGGTACAGGGCTGTGTTAGTGTAATTTCATGGGTTTAATCTTTATCATATTTCCTTTTAATTATTGAAATTAGCTTTTTGTGTATTGATACTTCATAGGAGCCAGGGAAACTTATTGAAATAGAATGCCTGGAATGTGAATATGAAAGAAGAAAAAATGCCACTAAAATTGTGACTTACACCAAAGGAGTTGTTGAGGTATGTTCTTTAGCAGTAACTTTGAGAGAAAAGTAAAAGTTTTAATTTGTTAAATGTGGAAAATTGCATTTGACTGTGTGTCTTAATTACATTATACTGATCAGAAATTCTTTTAAACTTTATGTTCTTTTAGATTGGGCTACCAAGAAAGAGACAGGGAAAATAAACCACAGTTGTTTATTCTTCCCTTAACTCTTCTGTCTGGCTATAGAGGTTCATAATATATATAACTTTCCGAGAGCAAAGATGGCAGCATTGAGGCATGGAAGGGCAACCCTCTCATGTTTTCGTATTTTGCCTTTGTGGGAGATGTTTTCATTGAATATCTTGAGTTGGAAGGAACCACTAAGGATTGCCAAGTCCATCTCAGCTGTGATTGCATGTTATGGGCAGTCTCATACAAATTCTTATGTCAGAGGAATAGAGTATTCCTGATAAATTGTTACACTGGGAGGGGGGGGATTTTCTTAGATTTCTGTGATCAGTTGACTCAGTTATGATTCAGACCATCAAAAGCAGAAGCCTAAGTATCAATGTTGTCAGTGGTGTTAGAGAAATGCCTACAGTGAGCATCTTAGAAGAGCTCTTAGAGTCACCTAAAGTTCCTAAAATGGGAAGTAGGAATATATTTAATGGAAACTGGTAGTGCATGAACTTACTCCTATCTATGGCTGTGCTCATTTTGGAGTTGAAATTCTATTCACCTTTTGAAAAAAAAGAAAATTTCAGTAATTCCTCATAATATGAAACATTACTAATGCTAAAATGTAAAATAGGATATTTCGGTATTTCTAAAATTCTGGGCTGTGGTGTCTGCATTTGGAGAGGTTTTTTTGTTTGATTTTTTTTTTTAATTGCCTACCTCTAAAAATAACGTAATAAATGGCACATGTCTGTTAATGTAGGTAAGGGTTTGCTTTTAGATTTAATGAAATTAACCAAATTTAATTGACAATGTGGCAAATCCTGTTCATAATATTACTTTTTTTCCTCTCCTGTGCAAAGTTGGTACCTTAGTATGAAAAAACAAAAAAGCTAAGCCTTCTGAATTCACAAATATTCACAATTACCAATTTCTATTTATCATAAGGAAGGGGAATAGCTGACAGACTTCTGCCTCAAATATATAATGGCAGCCTGGAGTACCTAAAAGAAACATTCCTTAGTTATCAATACCTATTTACAAAATAAGCTTTTATTAAAGGAATTATTAAAAAAAAAGCTTCCAAAGTCTGCTGGCTGAGGGACTGTTTTCTACTGAAAATAGTCCAAAGGTTAAAATTTGGAGGAACATGTAAGAAGTTGTAGTTGTTAAATGCAGTATACGCTAATTAATTTTTCGTTTATGCCAGGGTCAGCTGGAATTGATAAAAAATCTTGACTTAAGCTTAAAACGTGCAGTTCAGTTGGGAGATCCTAATGTGATTCAGGTTGTTTGTGCAACCCAGTGGAATCTGTGCTTGCCACTGCTACAGCACAACTTGCACCAACACGTGCGAAAGCCCTTGATCTCAGTTGCTGATGCCCTTGAAGAGATTGACAGGTAATTTTCTGTGCTGTGCACTTTTTTATTTGTTACTTTGGAAGGTCTCAGCATCAAACGCATTTAAAAGCTCAAGTTCTCTGATAATAAGCATCTTTGAGAATTTTCCACTCACTTGTAATAAATGCATGTCTGCATGTTGTATACAATTCCCCATTAATCACTGAAATACAGGTTCCTTTCAGGCAAAATCTCACACTGTTTAATGACCTGCAGCAAATATTGAAATACTTTAGGAAGACTTGCTCAGTCAGATGGGCTCTGACGTGGCCATACATGAGTTCTGTGGCAGATGTTTGATAGGCTTGAAAACCTTTCTCCTTTTCTCTTTCTCATGACATCGCTTTCATTTATCTAATTTTTTTCTTCTCCCTGAAAATAATCTAAAGTAGCACTTAGAGCTCTGAGCTGGCATGAACAGCTTCCTGGAGCAGGTGATGGATAGGGAGCCCAGTGTACCTGAGGCTGGGGAATGTGCAGGTTTTGGGGAAAACATGCTGGTTTCATGGAGTGGTGTGAGCATGATAGTGAAAATGAAAGAAACAAGTCAGTTATAAAGGGAGCATCGATTTTCGTACTATAGTTGCTTTCAATTATTGAGTTTCACCTTTTTGTGAGTTCTATGTCTAAGAATTTTAGTGTGCCTCATTTTGATGGTTTGCACTTAAATTTGTGTTCCTCAGCACGTTGACGTTGTTGCGTTGCCAAGTTCACATGGAAATAGCTCGTATTGAAGAAGATGGGGATAGACTGGAGGCTGCTGTGGGACATTTGCAAAAAGCTATTCAGGTGGACAGCAGTGGGCAGTACCAAGAACATCTGAGACTGACTTTGAACCGCGTTCATTGGTGCACGGTGCTGTACCAGGCACCTGAGCGTCAGGAGGACCGGGCGGGAGTGATGATTGAACAGGTAATCAGGAGGAACAAGGGCTGTAGCTGGAACAGATTTGTTTATTAAATTCCAGCAGAGGAGAGCCAGCTGTTCAGCAGAACTGGGTATTAGTAGAGCCAGCATTGGCTTGCATTCAGCAAATTGTCATTGAAGTGGTCGTGCTGCTTCACAGCCTGAAGGTTGTGATAGAGGATTTTTTCCCAGATACATTAAAAATTTATTTATTGGGGGGAGGGAGGGAGTTGTTAATTAGCAAAAATATCAGCAAAGAAGAAGCTTATTAGCAATTGTCAGCAATTAGGATTTCATTGCATGAAACGGTGTTTTATTTAATGAGGAGAGTAGTGTCCAAATAGCTGAACATCCTGGCTGGCTTCAGGATAAATCAGTATTATGTGACACTTACAAATGCTGCTAAATAATATAATGTAAAGTCAAAGTGTAGTCATTGTCAAGAGTTACTGCATCTAATTCTGTTGTGCTGCCTCAGCACCTGAACAAAAATCATGCTGGCAACAGATTTTTTTGTCTGGTTTTAACGCTTTTCCATACAAGCTTACTCTGTTTAAGTGTTACTTTAAAAAAAGCACTTACACCTCCTCTGACTTGGACTCATTCTGAGAAGACCAGGAATTTTTTAATATTTTGTAGCAACTCCTTATTATTGCACTATGGATGTGTTACTGTTGATTTGTAAATAAATACTGTTCTTTGTTTAAGAAGGTATAACATAATGACAGGTTATATACTGAGGAATATACTGTAAGGTTGCATGGGCAGCACGAACGGTACTTCATAATAAATTATCCTTGGTGTATTGAATATCAAAACAGAAGTTCCACAGTCACTTTCAATGACAATAATACTGCAGAATGATGTTTAAGATACATGAGGATACACAATTGCTAAAGGTATTTCTTTGGTAGTAGCAAGTTATATGATCTGCATTCTGTTATGTTTAGTAAATAAGGTGTAGTTGGGATATAAAATGAGCCTTATAGCAATGAGTTCTTTTCTTTACATAGGCTAAAAGGGGAAAACAAAAGGACGATGTGAGGAAAAAGAGATCCCTTCTGGTAAATGCAGGTCTTGCACTGGCTCCTGATACATTTCGAATAGTCCTTGACAGTGAAAATGAAGCTAAAGGTAAAGTTCATTTCTGTGACTAAAATTTACTGCACCTTGTCTGCTTTGCACACTCTTAAAGGCTGGACACAGCATCTAATGCAACATAAGAGAGTGTTGCAGTGCAGATGAAGTGACAGTTCTGCTGAATTCTGTGGCACAGTTCCTATCAATATTATTAGGGATCTAAAAGTTGTACTGTGATACTGGAAAAGGTGTTGTTTTGCCCTCCAGATTTGTCTAAACCTTCCTGTTGTGCTGTAGTGGGCTGGAAGTAGTTCTAGTTTATTTTCACTATGAGCAACTCCTGATGTTCTTATTCAAGGTCATTTTTAAGTGGTGTTTTCAGAAGTTTCACCCCATTATACTCTGTGTTAATTACATAGTGTGTTCATTCTGTATTATACTTGTCTTTCTATTCTAAAATCTTGCTTTTGAGAGCTTGAGTTCTGTACAGAGATTGAGGCACTAATTCATTTTACCTTCTAAAACACTGAACACAACACTGAACACTAAGGCACATGTTCCTTGTGCCTCACACAGCTTTGATTTGTGACTATACAGCCTGTGGTTGAAGACTTTTCAGACTGCTTGAAGTGTTTTTTTCTTGTTGTGGTAATAAAGCAAGTGTGTGACTAATGTCACTAACTTTGAGTGTACCTGGTGTGATCCCATGGTAGAGATTGTGTAGGAAGTGCTATAGGAGGAATCCTGTAGCTCCCAAAGGAGCCTGTTTATTCCATGGAAGACCTTGCAGTTCTCTCATGCCACCTGCTCAGCCAGGCCACAACGTTGACCCTCCACATCCCCATTTCAAACTTGATCAACTGATCACTTACAAGCCAGGGTCTTATTTACAGATCAACTGTTCCACTCTGTGCAGTCCTTTTTAGTATGTGAAAACGATGCCATTTTCATATATGATTTAAACAGAAAAAATGCATTTTATTTGTGAAATTAAGAGGATTTTAAGCATGCAAGTCTCCTTGCTTTTAAATTTTCAGTTGACAACTGTAAAATTACTTCTGAAGTTCCTGAGAATACATCTTGGTATACATTAACCTTCCAAGATGAGTCATTAAAATGAGTGAGATTATTACAACATTAGAAAAATCATAGGACTTCATTTGACACAAGACTTTATAAAATTTTGTTGTGAAAAATTTCATTTTTTTGTGAGGCTGTCATCTAAGCAGTGAGTTTTTTGCTTTTTCCATGACAAATTGCAACAAGCTCACACATGTTTATTGAAGGAGTAAGAAAATATATATGCAACTCTATTATTAAAATGCACATAGGACAGGACATCAGATTTGTAGTGGTTTTTTTCAGTTGCATAAAACCCTTTCATTCTATTTTGACGTATACGATTGGCTAATTTAGTGAGAGCAGCACCCACAGATCCAGAGAACAATGTCCTTCTTCAATCCATAATTCTTTCCAACCTGATGTTATTTCCAGCATGATATTGCTGTCACTGTGCCTTGTACTGGACAGGTTCTGTCAGTGCTCTGTGCATAGCTGGATAGCACAGAGGTAGCACAGAGGTATCACATGCTGGACAGTGCATTGCAAAAGATATTTAGCAAGAACAGTAAGACACTGTGCCTTCCTCTTGTTGCTGTAAGTGAACCTGTTTATATGTGTATTTTAAAGTCAGAAGTACTTTTAATGTACTAGAGCACTATATGTCCTGTCAGAAAAGAGGTGTACTTGAAATATTTGGGGTCAAACAAACATAGATCAGTTTTTGGGTGAGACAACTACATGTGAAGATCTAGAAAAAAGCAGAGTAGGTGCTGGTGGGATATGGACCTTTTCATGTTGGTTGGTTGGTTTGGGGAAAGCTTGAAGGAATGAGAAAAGGGCTTGATTTTGAATGTTTCACCAAGTAATTATGAATGAAATTGCTTGCCCTTCATGTGGATTTTTTAATCTCTTTTATTTAAGAACTACTTTAAATTCTTATTTCTTTGCAAAGTTTCCTCAGGTAAAAGTACGAGTCAAATAAGCTTCCTCTGTGCAAAAGCCCAGCATCACACTAGGAGTGTGGGGAAAGTTGATGAGCATTTGAAACACCTGAGAAATGAAAATGTCAGAGAGAGGTAATTACTGCAGGCCAGAAGTGTCTCTTTTGTCTTGTGTAGAAGTGTCTGAGGGCAAAGTTTCTCTTGCAGAGGTTCAGTTTCTGGATGGTACCTTGGAAGAGGCTGAGTAATTGAATCAGCCCTGGAAAAGCTTTGAAGTGTGTGTTTAATTCCTGACAAGCTCTGTTATGTTCCCATGCTGTGCAGAGCTGTGTTCTTTCCCTGTTCCTAATCTGCTCTCACATGCACCTAACTCACTTGGTCTGTTGATAGAAGTTCAGCACAAAGAAGGATGAGTTGAATAAAGCTTGTCCTTGATGTACAGTTGAAACTTGGAAGTGTCCCGTCCTTTTAGGTCCTTGTACCACACCATATGCTACAACTTTTTTGGTAAAAGATTAAGTTTTACATTCTGAAAGTCAGATTAACCTGTAGGAAAATGTCAGGTTCCATTTTGACAATTATCATTTTGTCATTCTTTATGTAAAAGGAGGTGTCTCCTTTTTTGCTGCACTAAAACTTCCTGTGATGAAATTTAAAGTCTTTTGTTTTCTAAAATATTCTGAACCCAAACTTGTTTTCAAGACGTATTTTTAAATTCTCAACATCTGTTTTTAAGTATTTAGTTTACTTTCTAAGACAGAACATTAGGGTCGTCACACACATTTGAAATTTCAGTATAGTTACCATCCAAAACAAGAATTTTGTCTCACTCTTGATATGCTGAGGAGATTCTTTTTAATTAATAAATTAATGATGTTATCTTTGCTACTGACAAGAAGACTTACATTTATTAATTTTGAGTAGATTTAATTGTTTTATCATGATAGCCATCATTATTGACATGATTTTTTTTTGATCCTGAACTGCGAAAGATAATCTTGCTTATAAATTAATTTTGTGTTTTTTCTTTGGTAGAATTATACTTTGGGCAGATTTGGCAAAAGTTGCACGTAAGCAGGAAGTCTGGGATGTGTGCCGTGCAGCATGTAGATTCTGCCTCTTGTATGAAGAGAACTTGTTTAGGAAGATATCAAAGCCTAAAAAAAGTAAGCGAACAATTTATTTTGAATGTTGTAAGAGGAACTTTTTCCTTATTTACTGGAGCTACTTGAAGGAGTCAGACAATTCTGTTTTCTTTCTTCCCATTCCCAAAGTTCCATGAGCACCTTGTCTGTCACCGTCTGTTGGCATACATGGAATATTCCTTCTACTTCCAAATCTAGAAATCAGTCAATACATTTTTTATTGCAGCCATACTCTGCCTTCAGAAATGTTTCACCAGTGGTGCAGGAAAGCACTTGTATGAAATGTATCTACCTGTATTAAGAAAACAGGTACATTCTCTAATGGTCATCTAGGTCCATATTATCCGTGCCTGAGGAACTTGAAGAAAAACGGGTTGTCAGTCGCTTTGTATGAGGCTCACATGGTAATTTTTACCTTTTTCCCTTATTCATCGGTTCCCTGAGGTATCCAACATTGTGCTCTATTCCTTGAGGGTCTGCTGGAAACCTGCCACACATGTTAAAAGAGTTCTTAGGCTGGCAAAAGCACTTTTAAATCTCCAGCTGCTTGGTGGCTTTTGCATGTGTCCGGTGAAGTTGATTTTGCCAGGGAGTTCATAAAACTCAACTTTAAGTGCAGATGAAATGCAGCTTTTTTCAGTAGCCAGTGTTAATTGAACCTATTCCACCTTTCTTCTCTAGATTGCTTCCAATGTCTGCTTAAAATAGGGCATGAATTTGCCTGTTTTCTTTCACAAGTTTTGCATTTCCAGACTAGCCATGTTTAATCTTTCAACTCTTTTTCCAAACTAAAGGGAAAAAGAAGTTCTTACCAGAAACTGAAGGCAACCATGCACCAAAAGCATCATCAGTAGAAACTGGTGTGTTCTTACAAACTCCGTGTTTATATTCAAATAACTGAGTCCTTTTTCTTCGTTATTAAAGCAAAGAAAAATACTGCTTATTTTCTCTTTACTGATGTGTGAGTTACCAGAAAGTCAGCCCAGTCCAGGTTTAAACACACAAAGACTTCAGCCACTACAGAAGGTTCAGTACTTCATTTCCATGAATGCAATAATTAACTAGAGGCCATGGGGTCTATTCACACTAAGGTAATTTCAGTGTGCACTTAATGACTGGAGCAAGTTATTTGCTGCAAATATTGAAGTTTATGCACAAATGCAGCAAAAATTACAGGTAACCAAGGTCTCAGCACTGCCTAAGAACAGGCTTTGAATGCAATAAATGGTACTAATGCGAAAAATTAATTATGTGAAATAATTTTAAGTATTTTCTTACTAACTCTTCCTTGGGGATTTAAGAATGTGTGGGGATTTGTAAATTGTAAATTGAGGGTAATGATTTGCATGAAAATAATAATGGTGTTATTTATTTATTTTTAGCACGGAAGAGCAAAGCTGGTGCAGCTATGATGGTTAATGGTCAAGGTGACACCTCAGGAGAATCATTGCTACCTGCTAATTCCTTCTCTTTAGAAACAGATTCACTGAGAATACTAGCAGAAATAAGATTCATTAATGCAGAGGTAAATAAATTACACAACTGTCATTCATATTTGTTTCATTTAGTTTTGTTTTATGTATAATTTTATGCATACATCTTAAAGCACTGGTATTATGAGTTTAGTTGTTTTCTATCTCCCTAGGAACTAGAGGATGAAGTAGTTTCATGAAGCATCCTGTCAAAATACTGTGTGAATGTAACTATAGCAATAGTTTCACTGCAGGTCATGATAACACTTTTTTACAAGAGATTCTACTGTAAATGTTTAACATGACATTATATTTCTGGATCCCTAAAGTTCCAGCATGATTAAAAAAATTTATATACATAAAATATGTTTTTTTTTCCTCAATGTCATTGTTTAGTAAAATTGACTGTAGACAATTTTAAGATTATGAAGCATTTTGTATTATATTTCATATAGTTGTACGTACCTGTACAACATCTGAAAAAGTATTTTGTATTTTCTAATTTTTGGAGAGGTAACTTCTATACTGAGTAATAGTCTGTTTTCACAGTGATAACCTCCGTAGATAATTTATTTCTCTGTGTCTTTCCAGGCAACTGTTCATTTACTAAGATTGCAGGGAATTGAACTGAATGATCGTGCTGTACCTCCAGAAGACACAAACCAGGATCATCCAGGAGATGTTTCATATCTTCTGGAAAATGATCCAGAATGGAAAACATACAGGTGCTTTTCCTTAATATGTGTCAAGACCCAGGAACTCTAATAGACCATTATTATCAGACACAGATAATTGCAGAAGCTATTTCTCCTTAGTAAAATTTGTCACCATATTCTTTATTTTTGTAGGTTTTCATGGTAAAAGAAAAAGGTTCTAAGAAAATAGTTTGAAAAAATTTTTCTTTTGTTTGCTTTCATTCTGGAGTGTGGATTTTCTTTTTCATTTAGCATTTACTTCTCTGAAACTAGAAGTTAGTATTCCAGGCTTAAAAACTATTAGATCTGTCTATATCAACATTTAGATAATTAAATTTTATATTTAAAAATGTTTTCCCAAATCAAAAAACTCTTTGTCTTGCTTTATAGCTCCTGTAACCACAATGATTTCGTAGTACTCAATGCATACAATGAATTATTTCAGTTTGCAGATCTTGTCTATTCCATCCAATCAGCTGAAATGAATCTGGGAGAGTAGAATATAGCAAGTATTGTTTTTCTCTGATCTCACACAATTATTTCTTGCAAAGGAGAAGAGGAGGGAGAATTCTGAGATGACACTTTGACTCTCTGCTGTTCCCATTCGTGCTGATGCTTGCCTTGTTGTGGCAGTGGTCATGTCCTGACAGAGCAGGGTGGCAGAGTTGTGTCCCTGGGTCTGTTCATTCAGTCTGAATATTAAGTAAAGTTTTTCACATTGTCTGCTTGCAGATACTCAGTAAAGCAAGAAAAATTATTAGCTGATCAGAGCCAAGGGGCAAAGATGAGAACTCTGTTCCAAAATTTGCTACCAGCTTTTTTTTGAGTTTACCCATTCGATTAAAAACCCATAGGAAAAAAAGCACTTTGTGTCCTGTACCATTGTTGACATAGTAATACCCAGTGTCAGTTTGTGCTTTTGGCTTTGTAACTTTGTAACCATTACCATTCTGTCTGGTCATTTAAGACTGTATTTTTAATATTGCTTTTTCTAAGTAATGGTACACTTTGATAATTAACTAAATAAAAAGAAAATGAAGTTATTGAAAGAAAGCTATCGCACAGACTGTGAAAAGGATGTTTGCTCTATTAAAAATGAATACAATATTTCAGAGCATCTGAAAATGCCTTTGAGTGCAAGAACACGTGCAGTTTTAAGTACAAAAGATATGTCCTTAGCTCCTGAGTGGAACTTGGAATGCACTTATATCTATATCCAAGGAGAGCCCTGCCATGGATATTTAATGATTTCTGGCACTGCTGGGGGCAGTGCCATCACATGTACCACACATACATTTAAAAAAAAAAAACCATGTGCATGAAGCATGAACCACAGACACTATTTCTGAAGCTAATAACAGTTGGGTGTCAGAGATGATTCATTTTATGTGGATACTATTTCCTTTCCTGAGTCATCATCTCATCCAAGTAAAATACCAGTCAGTGGATGAGGACTTAATAAATGCAACTGAAAAGTAATTAAATTTTTGTTCTTGTAGTTGGTTGAGATGTACTACTGCATATTTAACCTTACCATATAATTCCTTCTAGCGTTGAAGGTTTGGAATAACAACTTCTTTATGCTAATTTTACAGTTTATGGATAGACTGCTTATCTCAGTATGCTATGGAAAACTTCCAGCGTGCAGCTGAAATAGGAGAACAACTGAATGAAGCCTGGATTGTTCACAATGCTGTGGTGTATATCTTAAATTACAACAGACATCTGATTTCTTCAGGAAGACAGAGGGAAATCATTGAGTATCTGCAGACTCTCCTTGGAGCCATCAAGACTGTTGGATACAATGGGTAAATTTAGATGTTTGGATATGAACATGCTCTTTTTTTCTAAAACATAGGAAATATTTTTGCAAACAGCATAAGTCACTTTGTGCTGTGAAAGATGTTTCTTGATGGCTTTCATTAGTAGTGGAAGGACTTTGGTGTATATATAGAGTAGCTCAGAAGGTAAATTTAATTTTCTGATGTGAAAATTACATTTGAATCCTTTCTATTTGTTCTTTGTTACTATACACTATAAGCTGTATTAACTTTAGACCAATCAATATTAATTTCTCTTCATTGTGGAATATGCAAGTAAAAATAGCATTTTGTTAAGCTAGTCAGAAAACTGGGAGAATTTTCTTAGACTATGAGTTTGCAGGACAGCTCAAGATGTGTAGTTTGTTTTCATTTACTCTGAAGTTGAACTATATTGTAAATATAATGCATTGTAAATATTTCTAATCATAGCAAGGTGGTTATTACTGGTTCTGAAGTCAGAGAAAATAGAAAATAAAATAAATAAAGGGGATTTGCACATTAATAGACTATGAAAAGAGGAATAGATTCCACAGTGGTTTGGAGAAATCCCGTGCTGTAGTAAATGCAGTGGCAAAATGATTGACTATTGCAGAGGAGATGCTCCAGTCAAAGTCTGACTGTGGGACACAGTCCTGGAAATTTTAGCACATTATTGGCAGTGACCTCAGCACCAGGCGGGGAAAGGACCAGCAGCAAATAAGTCTCTTTTAACAGTACTGGGTAACAAAACCTAAATTGCAGTTTGTGCAGAGGTGAAGACCGGTAATACCTGCTTATTAATTTTGATACTTATGTTAGTTTATATCTCAGCAATAATCTCTTAATTGTAATTCAGTTCATGTTTTCTCAAAAAAAACCCCCAAAAATTCCAGCTCAGTAGTGGATTGGCATGATAGCCAGAAACAAATGGGTCCATGTGAAGGGTTTGGCTTAGGGTAATTGGTTAGAAAATAGTTATTATTTTCGTGTATAGCAGCCTTGCTAATAAAAAGTTATGTTTTAGTGTTTGTCTGACATAAATATGAATTTTAGGGGTTTTTTTCTGTGATGAAAGAGAAGCTTCAATTATAGAAAGAGCTTAAAAAATAGATGTAAACTATGACAATTGATTGTGGGTTTTGTAGTTTTAACAATTTAAACTGCTTTTCCAATGGCCAAATTTTTTTACAACATCTATAATTTTAGTTTCTATGAAAAAAATAGATTTTCAAGTAATACTCATTACTTGAAAACAATAAATTTTATTCCTGCCTTTGATCTGATGCAGTGTGCACTTCTGATTTTTGTTTTCTTCTACAGAAGTACTGAGATTTTACTGATGTTATGTAACGCTTTGGCTCGGGGCCTAATTATTCCTTGGATTCCAGAGCCAAAACCTGCTGAGGAGAAAGAAGAAGATACAGCAGTAGACAATGGCAGAAAAGCTGCAGGAAAGAAACAGGAAAAGGCAAATGTCACCCAGTCTCTCTTGGTAGATCCTAGTGGACTTTCTGACATCCAAGCTGCCCTAGAGGTACAACCTCCTTATTTTTGTAGTTCCTTTTGTTCTGCTGTCATATATTACAATTCCTATAAATTCAGTAGTAGAATTTTCTGTAGAAAGATAACATCTTTTGCAGTTCTGCCACATAGATCCTCCACTGGAGCTCCTTACCAGCTTGGGGCTCAGGGCTGTAACTTCCATTTGCCTTGTGAACTCACCTAAAGGAGATGTTGTCAGGCTTAGAGATGCGTGTGCAATAATTTTAAAATAACTAATGAATGGCATGTTCTGTACAAGAAGCTTTCCACATTTCTCCTGTGTTTCAGGTTTCTGTTTTTTTTTTTTGTTCTGGTGTTTAGATTTGTGACTTTGCCCTAAGTGTGATGACTGGAACCACACCTAAGGGAACCGTCCCTGTTGCTGCACAACAACAGGTCATTGCTACCTGGGTGAAAGCAAAGCAGTTAAATCAGCAGCAGATCAATCTTGGGACTCAGGAGGAGGTATGATTTCCCTGAAATCCTGCATAATAATGAAACTTTCCAAAGAAAAGTTAAACTCATATATTCATTTAATAATGACTGAAATTATCAATGTATAATTTCTTTTGTATATTTGAATACAATGTGAAAATAAATTTTGGCTGTAGTTCCAACAAATCTTTATGGAACATAGCAAATTTTTGACATTGGGCATAGCAATGAGTCTACATTTCTTAAATCTGCCCTCTGTTGTTTGCTGCCATGGTGGCATTTGTTATATGATGACTGTTGAGCAGAATTGATCTTGAATTCATACGTGTAAAATAATAAAATGGCTACATTAAAAATTTTAAGAAAAGTCATCTATATTTATATCAACATTTATTATGGCCTCTTTATGAATAGATTATAGACCTAGTAAGTTGGAAAGCAATATTTTATTCCTTTTTTTTTTAATAATGTCTATAAAACTGGAATCCCCCAGTGAAATATGAAATCTACCTTCACTGTATTGTTGATGGGGATTTTTAGTGTTAAAACTGTAGTGGTTCAGAGTTCACAATGTTAATTAAACATGTATAAATACATAAAATCCCCTTTTTTAAGGACACAGTAGAGATGAGGACTTGCTTAAAGCAAATTGAGGTTTTCAAGCATTATTATTATTATTATTATTATTATTATTATTATTATTATTATTATTATTATTATTATTATTATTATTACCCTGTCATCTCAACTAATGTTCTTAATATTACTGACTTGCAAAAAAAAAAATCTCAATGTGAATTTTTTGTTTCTGCTTAGAATAATGATGAAGCACAAAATCCTATGGCAAGAATTCTTATTGGTCTGGAAATGTATTCATGTAATGGCTTGGGTCTCATGGATTTCACTGTTCCTAGCTTATCTGAGGTATTTTTTTTAATTAGTTCTTGAGTTTTTAAAACTTGAATATTATAAATGTGATTTCAGTTTCAATTTTCAATGGAGGCAAAATTAATTTGGAAACTTTTATTGTACCATTATTTCCTTTAAAACTTTCCAAATGGTTGAATATTTGTGACAGGAAAAAGATTTTTGTGACAGAGTATTTTCATTTCTCCAAAGAACAGATTGCATTAGAATTATGTCTATGTTGCTTTAACAGATTGTTTCCATAACCAACAGATGAGTTTTGTGGGTTCAGGTAAATTCTATACAGAACCATGCTTCTAACCTTTCATTTTTCTTGTTGAGAAAACTTAGTAGAATCACAGAGTTGTTTAGATTGGAAAAGCCTCCTGAGACCGTCGAGTCCAACCATTCCCCCAGCACTGCCAAGGCCACCACTAACCCATGTCCCCAAATACCACATCCAAATGGCCTTTAAATCCCTCCAGGGATGGGGACTCCACCGCTACCCTGGGCAGCTGTGCCAGGGCTGGACAATATTTTCAGTGAAAAAATTTCTTCAATATCCAACCTAAACCTCCCCTGGCACAACTTGAGGCCATTTCCTCTTGTCCTGTTCCTTGTTCCCTGGGAGCAGAGCCCAACGCCCACCTGGCTCCACCCTCCTGTCAGGGAGTTACAGGGAGGTTTAGGGTTCATATTAGAAGTATTCAAAATTTCAACAGGAAACTTCACATAATAGTGAAGTTACTTTTGACAGTTACAAGGTAGAATAACTACACTTGGTTAATATTTAAAGAATTAGGTGACTTTTTGATGAGTCTTATACAATGTGTGTTTTCTTAAAGTGCTTGCTTTTGGTTGGTCTTCTCTAATGACTCACACTGAATAGTGCCACAGTTTTCCTGTGATCCTGTTGGTTACCAGTCTGTTCAAGAGCAATAGAGGTAGTGTAGAAAGCTTTATAGCTCATATTTTCAAAACAGGGAGTTGTAGCCTTACCTGTTTGATTACCACAGTTATAATTTCTAACTCTTGTAAAGAGCTTTCTTAACTGAGATGTATTTCCCCATTTAGCTGGGAATCTGGTGGCATTGGCTAACACTTCTGTAGAAGTCCTTCTTTCACAAGACTAGGTTCTGGGTCCTTATAAATATATAGGTATCTAATTCTAGTCAGTCTACAGATTTATGCCAAATACTATGAGTTTGCTTTAGCTGTTGCTTCACTGGCTTGGTTTTGTATAACAGTGTTGTAGTATCTTTGTTTGGACCAATTCATTAACAAGCACCGTTATCCTAAAAAGGTGGAACTTTGATACATACAAAAGAGATGAAAACATTTGGATCCTATAATGAAACTAGATATGAAACAACATATACATGTATAGATATATGTTTAGGTTGGAAAAGACCTCTAAGATTATGGAGTCCAAGCCTCCATATATATGACAACATATATAGCAACTATATGTTACAACAACTGGTTGTTGTAAAACCACTTCTATCTCCCATTCTTACCTTTGGCTTAACAAAAATGGTCTCTGAATTTTGATAGTCCTGTTCCACCGATTTTTGAAAGAGGACTGAGGACATAGAATAAGTCTTGGCATATACTTCTGGCCAAAGGGCATGCACACTTACAGCTGGATTTGCACACACTATAGTAATACTTATTACAAGATGAGTGATGCCTCTGTAGTGTATATTTTGGCTGTAATTGTAGCCCCTTAGTTTTCTACATGGTTTTATTATGTACTTGTTCCATGCCCAGTTGGTTGTAAGGAAGTCACAGCTGTAAGCATGTAAGTACTGTAGAACAGAGCATATTAAAACCCTGAAATTTAAACACTTTTTTTCTTCCTTTTTTTCCTTTTTTCTCTTTTTTCTTTATTTTTTCCTTCCTAGTTAGTGAAATTGTCTTTAGAATGCAGTTGGTCGGATTCCTTAGTGGAGCTGCAGACACTGACACGACTTATGTATTTTGCATACGTATCACACGCCTATGAAATAGTGACAACTTGTTCCAAAAGGATCTTGGAATCAGATAGGAATTCTGTCCACAACAGAGATGCTAAGAAATATGATGTGTAAGTACATGGAATTTTGCATGATACGGTGGTATACTTGAACTAAGCTTTGAAGAAAGAGTATAGAGGGTAAATGCATCTGATCACATAACCAAAAATGAAAGAATCTTTTTTACAAAAAAAGCCATACAGTTAGAGATGAAAGTGAAAGTAAAAGGCAGTGGGAGCTCCAGATTGTGGCACCGGACCCAGTTCAGGAAGACAGATGAAGTTTGTTATCCAAGGAAGTCAGCAGGTCATCCATCCATGTGTTTGGGCATCTTCCCAGGGAGCATTGCTTTTCTGAAATGATCTCTGGCAATTTTGACCCTTTTATAATCTCCAGGCAGAAAATAGCTGATTCAAGTTCTTCTGCTGATGCAAATTGCTTCCAGTGCTGACCTGCATCTAGTACACGAAGGGCCTACACAGTTCCTGGGCCAGGAGGGGTCTGGGGGTGATGAAAGGTAACAACAGCTCCTGTATTCCAGGCTCTGCTGTCAGGTAGCCTTTGTGGTCTTATTGCCACTATACATATGGGTGCAATAGGAATGTAACTCATTTCTTTAAAAACCAGTCTCTTACTTAACTTATTTGAAACTTTGATTCCAAAGAAAAAACCCCAAAAACCCACAAAAATATTTCATATATAAATGGATCTATTGGTGGAGTCCTTTATTATAAAAAGGTGACACCCTTTGATCCTTCTATTTTTTATATAATTTCTCCAAAAGCAGGAATTAATTTTATCAGAAGAGGGGAGAGTCAACTCCATTTAGCAGTAATTTTTTTGGAATGTAGGAAGTTTGAAATAAACATGTGAAGGAGTTTGGATACAATATATTGTTCCTTTTTTTCTCTGCAAAATAATTTCTCTATTAAAAACAGTGTTGTTTTCTGCCTGGGGAAAAAAAGCCATGTAAAACCAAGTAAAAGATCTTAATATGAAATACATATTTTCAGAACTTTACAGAAATTGGGAGTATACTTGCTGCACATCCAGCAATCTACAAAGTAATGAATGATAAAGTATTTGAATCTTTGACAAAGAAATGTAGTCATGCATTGTCAGTGCTGTTTCAAAAAATGGAAGACAGGCTCAGTGTTTCCTGATAAAGCACAGCCTGGGGACAGAGAGGTTGATTTTGATGTGTTGCTGAGTTGTGCTGTGGGCACTGGTGCCCTCTCGTGCACACAGACCGTGGCTGTCAGTTCGCACACAGGGTAGAACAGAGCAGCTGGAGTGTGCATCTGGTCATGGCTGCATTTGTAACTAAGACCTTAAAAAATCCTGCAAATTGTATTTTTCTTTTCTTACAAGGTCACTATTAGCCAAAAGTATCAATTTATTTGCTTATTAATTTTTAACTGATTAACTGTAGCATTGAAACCTACATTGTTTTCTTTTAAATGTAGTAGAACAGGATTCATATAAATTTCTCCAGAACCCTGTGCATAAGTTACCAGACATAAGCATTACAAATTCCAAAAGAAAGTATTAGAAATAGTCTAATTTTCCTGATTTCTGTTTTTAATTGCTTACTGTGTAAGTTCAATTTTGGACTAATATTTTGTTTGATGTATGACACTGAAACATGGGGAGAAAACTAAAAATCTATTTTCTTCCCTTGCTAAATATAGATAATGGTTTTTTTAATCTGATTTCACAGTTATATTCATTAGAGGTGTAAAAAAGATATTTTATTCTTTATTTTCACAAAATGTTCAGTTTTTAAATGTGTCTTGATTTTAAAAGGAAACTCAGTGGAAGCATTTGTAACTTCCAAAGCTAGGGACATCTATATAGTAGAAACTTGAAAAGCTCATTAATAGGAAATGGGATGGTCTTAGACTGGAAGACTTAGCACTTCTTGAAGTATTTGCCTTTATGCAGGCCAGGTAACAGACTGAAACAAGAAATGTTAAGCACTACTACCTGGATGCAAGGACAGAGCATAATGGAAAATTTGTCTGGAAGAAAACATCTGCGTGTAGCAGCAGCAAACGCCTTTGCTCAGAGTGCCAGGTATATTTTATTATGAGAGAAGACTAATATAAAACAGATCTAAAATTTGATTACAGATTTGGGGATCAGCATATTTTCTGCCAAGACTGATAAAATGCAAAAGAGTTGTGAGTTGAAGGGTGATCAGATTGCCAGTTTCAAAAAACTGCTTTTTTTTAAATAGTAGAACTATTCAGTTGTTGATTTTATTATACCAATGCATAATTTTTCACTGAATTTCCAAGCTTTTGCTCACTCAGCTGAGTTGTATCACTCAGCTGAGTGTTGTATCACTATCTGGAGAATTATTTTATGAATTCAAAGTAACATTTGCATTAAATATGCTCAAAGCTATTTGAATGCAGCTAGAGGCATTTGGGGCATGTTCGTGTGTTGCAGTGGCACTATGCTAAGCAAAATCCATGGCATGCTAATAATTGTTTTGCTCTATTTTTTAATGTCTTTTAGAATGAGAAATTAACATAACAGGAAGCAAAAAAAGTATATTATTCCAATGACAACATCTTAAGTAGATTTCTGCTATTTTTTAATGAATGCTCTTGATTTAAGATTATGCAGAAATACAATAAAGTCACTAATATGATACTTATTGCTACTTCTGAATGTGTGAAGGCGTTTGGTATATAAAAATGGAAAATAGCTTTTGTATGAAGCTCATATGCTAACTCCTCACTGCTGAGATTACGTATGGTGGTGTGCAGACCAGGTAAACCCAAATATTTGTAGAAATAAAATCCTTTATTTTGGCTATAGTGGGATTGTTTTCCCTCATTAAGGTGTACTTCTCTTTCTTCAGGCATGCAGGTGGAGCTGGGAATTATTCCCTTGTAATGTTTGCAGCGAGACACTTTTGGAATGCATGTTTACCTTTGCTGGGCTCTCCACATGACAGAGAACATCTTAAAGAACCTACTGAAATAATTCTTAAGAGTATAATTAAAGCAGAATCTAAAAATAAACAGGTAAGAATTTCTAATAGGTGTTGTAAACTGTGCTTGTGTTTAGTGATTGATGCTGATGGTAAAGAAACTTCAAGATACCTTTCCTAAAAGAGGAAAAGGACTTATTGCCATAAACACATTTCTGGTTTCTAAGCTGCATTAACATACCACACATTACACATACAGGGACTCACATAGTGATTTTTCCTCAACCCATATATAAATCACAAATAATCAGAGATGATGACTGGTCTCCTTATTATGGGTGTGTAGAAACTGATGAGTACAATGTGTACTTGGAAGCACAGTGAAGGTTGTAAGCTTAGTGGGACTTTGGCAGTGTTTAGATACATAACAGTAACTGCTCGTAAGCACAGTCCTAAAGTTTCATTTATTTCTAGGGATATATTTTAAACCAATAAAAAGGAATTATGTGTATATAGTTAACTCACCGCCACAGAGTATTTTCAGTGTGAATCCTTAGTAAGTTGTATTAAAAAGCAAAACTTTAATGTAGATAATGGAAGTTTACAGTTATAGGTAGCATAGATCTTTTATGTCTGAAAATGTTAGTAATTCTTAGGAGTTAGAAGTGAGTAACTTCAGATAATAGTTAGGAAAAAATATTTTCTATAAACAGAGTGTTCAGTATTTGATTATTTCTGGAGTTACTACATTTTTCAATTTTATAGTAATTTTGTAGTAACCCTTTTAAGAGGCAGGAACTGCTCTCCAGTGATCCTTGATTAGGCTAACTAGGGCAATTTTAAAATGCAGTCACATCTGGAGAAGCATATACCAGCAGATGTCCAGATTTTCATCCACCAATACCCCCAAATCCTTCACCGCAGGTCTGCTCTGATAGTGGGGTTTGCCCTGACACAGGTGCAGGACCTTGTTGAACTTCACCAGGTTCACTTGGGCCCACTGCTGAGGCCTGTCAGGGTCCCTCTGGGTGACATCCCTTCCCTCTAGTCAATGAACTCACCACTCACCTTGGTGTCACCAGCAGATTTGCTGAGAGTGCTCTCAACCCCCATGACTATGTCAGCAATGAACTAAACAGTATTGTCCCAGTAAGAACCTATGGGGGATACCATTGGGGAAACCACTGGTTTCCACTTGGACACTGAGCCAGTGACTGGAACTCTTTGGGTGCAGCCACCCAGCAACTTCCTTATCCATCTAACAGTCCATCCAGCAAACCTCTGTCTGTTCAATTCAGCAGCAACAAGGTTGTGGGGCACTGTATCGAAAGTCTCACAGAAATCCAGGTGGATGACATCCATAGTTCTTTCCTTGTCCACTGATGCAGTCACTCCATTGCAGAAGGGCACAAAATCAGTCATACTTTGTGCCTTCATGGAAGTAAATGCTGATTTCATCAAATCTGATAAATCTTTGATGATGCTAATGTAATAATTATCTAAAGGTTGTGGCAGTAGCTCAGTTAACTTATTAGCATCATCCTTTATGTATTCAATAGTCAGCATGTCATATGTGGATCTGTTTTTGAAACAAGATAATGAATTTATCTTTGAAGGTGGAAAACTCTGCTGTAGAGGAGGGCAAAGCAGTTCACAAGTCTCCTACCTTTGGTCGAGAATTGTGATAGTCAGATTTTCACAGGTAAAGCCTGGAGCAGGGCTGTAGGCTAGAGAGCTCCAGAGGGTCTCTGCCAACCTCAGCTGCTCTGATTCTCTGAGAGTGCTTCAAGTTTTCATGTTATTTAATCAGTGTAATGGATTGAATATTACTGAGTCTGGTTATTGTCTTATTGGGTTTGTATTATAGGACTTACTCTGGAGAAATGCTTGTGCCTTTCATGTGCTCAAGCAGCTATTTAAGTTACAGATTACTAGTTGATATTAACGATATGGATTGGTTTACAGATGAAACAGAAGTTCATTAATCCTTAAAGATATAACTGAAAGATTTTTGTTTTCCCCTTTTTTTTATGTCTCTTTAGGAAGAGAAAGCAATGTGGCCTTTGCATCAGTGGATTACAAAGGATTTTCAAAGTATCAGGTTATTAGATGAATGCTTTCTCCCAGGCATGTTCTTCCTTTTTTGGTCTGGTAATAAAAGAAACTCCAGTATTTTGTAATACCATTATTCTAATTCTGCAATATATTAATAAATAATTTGAATATACTTCAAAGGTGCTGAGGAAGATCTGACATTAAGAATCTCCTTATATGGGTTATTATGCCACATATATGCTGATAAAGCTGACTGGGAGACAGCACTAAAAGTCCTGGATGAAGCTAATCAAGTTTTGCCTCAGACAAGACACAAACTGTAAGCTGGTTGACTTATTTTTATTAAATTAAGCATCTCAATTCTTGAAAAGTATAAAACTCTTGAGTGCTTTTTTATTTTACATTGGGAAAATATTCCTATTTTATCAGCCTGTCTGTTCTTACAACAGAAGACAACGTTGTGTCTTTTCAATGAAAAAGACATGCACAGGCAGTGCTTCCTGTCATTAATCTGTTAATGTTTGTAAATTGAATTTTTTTAAAACTTGTATATAAGTAGTATCTTACTTTCCAAGGAAATAGGTGCATGAAATGTGGCTATATAGCACAAGGTTTAATTTTCCTAACTGCAAAGCCCTTTACATTAAATGAAAACTAAATTATCAAGAGTTCTGTTTACATAATCTTATCTGGGTTCAGGGTTTTAGGACCTTTTATGACAGTTTACAAACTTTGCATCTTTGTACTATACTGATATGAACTAGTATATCTATCTTATTCACAAAGTTACTTGACCGATACAGATGCAAGTCATTTATAATTTGTTGGATCTTTTTCTAGCCTGATTTTCAAACACATGGCTACAGTGAGGGCAGGATTGGGATGCAGTTTTACGGTGGCCATTCAGAAAATCAGTCGTGAAAGCGAAGAGTATTTGCCACAGATGTGGCGTCACTTGGCGACAGTCTCCAGAAGTACTGCTGGACAGCTGAGCTGTTTCAAGAATGCCATCAGTGCTTCACAGGTTTGTCACTTCTTGCTGTTTGTTTCGATGCCGACGGAAGGATGTTTCTCAAGTGATTCATGAGATTGCAAGTTGTGTGAGGTATAGAACTAAACTGATAGGGGAGCCATGTACTTGAGCGTTACTTTTTATAACTTTGAGATAGCTCTTCAGTAGGAAAACTCTGTATGGCTGAGTTTTTGTATCCAGAAAATTTTAGTTGAGTCCTGCAAAGAAAAATCTCTAAGAGTAGCAAGGAGTTTTAATAAAACAAAGAATTAATTGGTGGAGTTTTCTGTTACATTCTCTTTATCATAACTCTGATTATGTGATGCCAATAAAACTGCTCACTGTCAATTATTATTTTTTGCTTCTGTTCAGATTACATTAAACTTTAGAATATCATTTTGAAGGCTTACATTAACAAATATTAATTAACTCCTCCTTTATTACTTTTACAGAAACAAGAAGATAAGTTGCAGAGTGTTGATTACCTGATGGAATTTGCTGAATGGTTATACTGTAATCAGTTTCCGCTCAACGATGCTATTAAACCTCTGCACTGGGCAGTAGATCTCCTGCTGCGCATGAAATTCCCTATGCAATCCTCACAAGAGGAAGGTATGTAATAGGTGTTTCTCCTCCAGAGGAATTTCTCAGCAGCAAATGCAAGGGACATTTTAAATTTACAGCTTAGTTATCACAAAGAATGGCACTAGCTTGCCTGTATTTTCTCTTACATTCACTGTCTTTAATCGATGCTGCTTCAGTTATCTGTGGGTTCTGTGCTGTGCCATGGAGACCTCCCCTCAGTCTGTTGGTGTAGTAAGATACTGCTCCCATCTGACGTGGGTTCCTGAGATGTGAGATGCTTCCAGAAAGCAGTGCTGGGTAGTCTGTTGCAAATACATCTTCATGGAGGGACAGATGGAACTGCAGGAAACAGTTTCTGTCCCAAGATTTGGGTACCTAAGTTCATTGCTCTTGACCTGGCTTTGTCAAGAATTTTAGCATTGTTTTTTCAAAACTGACTTTCAAAGGGAAGTGTGCTTTCAGCTGCTCATGTAACAGTCAAAATCCCTTGGTCCTTTTACTTTGTGTCCACTTGTGGTAGTATGGCCTCAGTGACCCGTTTTGATAGAACACCCCATTATTCAATTGGGGAAAAAAGTATCTGATTTCTGGAACACCACTGTCCTGTGTGGCATTGATGAACATCCTCACTGCTCTTATTTTTGTGTGGATAGATGAAATCGTTCAGAAAAGTACTTCTGGTATTTGCATTGAGAAAGAGAAATGTTCAGTGTCTCTAGTATCACACATTTGATTGAAGTCACAGTAGCAATATTCTGTTCATACTTTTCTGTTAGTGGTTTGGTTGGGTTTTTTTTACAGTCCTATGGTCGTTTAAACTTTGTATTCGTTCTTTAATGATCCTCCCATCCAGTTTCACCTGGTTGCTTATGATTACTGGCCTTCTTACACCACTTAAGTTCCAAGAAAGTTTTTACGCAGCTTTTAATGGAAACTGAAATAATATAATAAGGAAAATGAGATTCAGATATAGAACAGCCCAGATTGGAAGGAACCTCAAAAGATCATCTGGTCCAACCTTATGTGCATGTCATTTCTCTGTCAGGCTTACATCATTTAATTAACATAACTTACATTATTGGTTGAAAGCATGATACAAGTACCACTCCATCATAATAGTAAGAACATCTTCAGTAGATGGATTTCCATTTTTCTTTTCTTCCCCTTAATATTTTCATTTTCAATTCAGAAATTTTAACTTTTGAGTACATTTTTGGAATGCTGCCATTGTGAGCACGTGACTGCTTTTTTTTTTTAACAGGAAAAATTGATGTAGCGGAATTTATGCCCACAGAAAACATTAAGATGAACAGTGGAGCAAATGATATCATTCCTCAAATTAATTTGGAGGATTTGAGTAATATTAAACAGTTGGAAGCTTTGTTCAGAGCACAGACATTACTGGCTGTAATTTCTGGTCCTGGTTCTCCTTGCCATCAGCAGCACTGTTTGCTGGCGTGTGCCTGTATCGTCCGGATCTGGCAGGTGAGACTGTGGGAGATCAGACGTGGGTTGGGTTTTAATGTGGCCAGTCCATTTCAGGTCTTCTCATGTAACTGTGATACCAGCTACTCTTTTGGGGTTTTAAATATATCTTTAGAGTTTTCAGTTTTGTGGTGTCATTAGTGTCTTTTCCCAGCTTTTGGAAATAAACCAGAAAATTGTTTATCTTGGGAAAACAAGGAAGAGACAAGAGGGATAAAAGCAGTGGCCCAATGTTTCTCTGGAGTACAGTCGTACGTTTTGTGCAACAGGTTCTAAAATGGTGTATTTTTAATTTGCTAAAGAATCTTAATAGTGGCAGAATATGTACTGAAGACATTGCTGGCAGTTCTGAAGAACAGTGATTTCTAATGGGCCTTTACAAAATTGAATCAAAAGGGCTGTCATGTGACTGAAAGGATTGTGTTCACTCATTAATTTCTCCAATTACTTTCTCATTGTTACAGCATTCCAAATTAAACAAATCTATTTCATTTCTCATAGATATGACCAATTGAAATGGCTTTTCAGAATCACAGCAGCACTCATAGGAAAACAATTATACATTAAATAAAGTAAATCTTTGAAGGGACTAAATGTATAGTTAATAATAGTAATGCAACAAATCATTATAGAAACAATTTTAGTTGGGACATATCAACTAGATTGGTAAGGTATAGCTTGGGCATAATTTTATTCCAGTTAGATGTAAAAGTCTGCAATATGTTAAGATTTCATTGTGAAATCACTTTAAGGTGATGGAAGACAGGAATTTGAAAAATAAAAATTGAATATTGATATTTTTGGATTTACACAAGCACAACTTTAAACATCCTACACTTGACTGAGTGTCTTACTAGAGAAAAAATGATCTGAAGGGAGTACTACTGTTTGAATAAGCTGTTAAAACTAAAAGAGCTGGTGCTGCTGTCAGTGCCAGTCATAGGGCAATGACAGTCATTCTAAGAATCATATTTACAGCTGAACAGTATTGTGAGAAAAAGAATAACCATGTGGTATGAAAGGAATTAAAGTACTCCAGGACTCCTTGTTTTGGGAGTACGAAGTGAAGCAGACTTGACTGAAGACATGTGTTTCTAAAGCAGGCTCTCTAAAGTGTTAGGACTCCATAAATAACTCAGTAGAAGATCTTAAAATGTCCTCTGAAAACCTGAATAATCGAAGCCAATAATCATCTGCTTCTGACTTTTTAAAAGACATGTTACCTTTAATTTGAAATTTTCATGTTTCGTGCATTATCCAGCATTAGTTTTTTATTCATATTTTGTATTTTATTCTTCATTCCTCCAGCAAAACATATACGACTTCTGAAATGAATGTGGGTTTTTGTTTGTTTGTTTTTTATTTTAGGTAAGATCAGAGCTGTGCTATTACATGCACAGGGAAATTTTCAATTAATTCATTCTTATGCTTAAATATTTAGAAAATTCTTTTCTGTAACATTCATTAGGAGCATTGTAGAAGACTAATCCAGAAGGAGAACAAAATTACTCTTTGCAGTCTCGTAGATTACTTTTATATGAAATCCATTTCTTGTAGAACATGAAGCTCTCTAGACTAGCAGTTTAAAACAAAAGAATTGAATTTGCAGCCATAGAGGTTAAAAAAGAGTAGCAGTAGTGTTTACCACAGGGATGATGTCACCTCTGACAATTCTGCTGTTTAATTGCATTGGCATGATCATCCTAAATGCTTGTACAAATAATACAGCAACCAGAAATCTCTGAAATTGTTGTTTTCTGAAGAAAACTTCTGCAACAGAACACGATATGTGACAATTGTTAACAGCTGCAGATAGTGATTTGCAGTGGATAATAACTGTTACTAACAAGTATCATTATTATTGCAAATTGAAAATAATTTGAATTGAAAATAATTATAATTATTTGATTGTCTAGATATCATTGCCAGCATCAGGACTTATTACAAAAGCAACATCAAGATCTTCACAACCTACAACTACTCAGAAATTGAAGTCAAAATCTCCTCCTAAAAAAGAGAAGGGCAGAAAGACACAAGTAAGACCCATTTTCCTGTGAAATTAAAACAATCCTCTCTTTCTGAGAGATGTTTCCCTGGGCTCATATGGTAAATAGTTCAGATGCTTTCCTGGACAGACTCTCACAACCTGTGAAGAATTTCTGAGTCTTGGTATCATAGGTTCACTCTTGATCACACAGACTTTACAGGTCAGGTATTTACAGATACTTTTTTTTTGTGTTGATTGTTGCATTGTTCAAGATACTGCTGTTTTGTAAAACCCACAGTGTAGGGATCCAAAAAAACACCCAAATCCAAGAAAACTTCAAAGGATATTAAACAAATGTGTTAATTTTTTTAGCTGAATATTTAATGCCAATAAGATTATTAATTTGATCTTATAAGTGTCCTTGGTTTTTATTATAGTCTGATATTTCTGTTCCAAAAGAGGAGCCTAAACTTGATAGCTTACCAGCAAATGTGGAAGAATGGGCCCTGTACGAATGTCCTAAGGAAATCAGAGATGCTTTTAAACAGAATACAAATATCTATGGTATTAACTGGGAAAATTTCCCCAAACCTGTAAGTATACTCCTCAAAATTCTAGATCATTTGTTATTTAGGGAAAAATGAATACCAAAAAACTATGTTACATTTTAGTTTTTGTCTGTGTATGTTCAGAGATCTGTCCAAAATACTTTTGTGTCGTAGGAGTCATTAATACTTCAGGAAGTGTTAGTCTGTCCCCCGCGTGAAATGCACTCAACTTACAGAATAAATTTGTTGGCTTTCTCTGTACCTCGTTGCTCTTGCAGCTTGAAAGTTTATTTGGACCTTTTTTGGGGTTTATTTTGGAACTGAAACTGTAGTCATTAATTTAAAAGTTATTTTCTACGAAATTATGTTTATACTGATTGAACTAAAAAAAATTTCTTTTCAGACCTGCACTTTGTATTTTATGGATCTCTTATCTAAAGAACTACAGAAGATTTTTTGCCCCCACTTGATTCTTCCCATCTTTCAACTAGCCAAAGTTATTGCTAGTGAAGTTGTGGAATGTAGAAGTCTGTCTGATCTCTATCACCTTCGGTTTGTATCTTTTATTTATTTTAAATAGAAGAGAAACTGAATGGAGTGGACCATCCATTAATATTTCACTAAATAGTAACAAGGCTTTCTGTGACTTACTGTTTTATATTTGTGATGGTTTTTTATTTAATTTCTTTTTTAATGCATTTTAATGGAAATTTGATGAATCGGTTTGTGGAATTAAAAGCCACTAAGTTTATCTGTTACTAAACATCATCTCCACGTGGAAAGTGTACAAGAATATGAAACCAGGCCACTTCCATGTGAATGATTTTTGAAATGCCTTATTGTCACCTAGCTGAAAAAAATGAAGTCCAAAAGAGTTTCAATAAAAGTATTATCTATTAAGTAGTCAAAAGCAGGCTCCGTTCCTGCAACAAAAATATCTTGTCTGTAGCTGAAGGGCACAAAGTTTCCCTAATAAATGCGTTTTTACAGAGATTTGCTTTTGTGACCTAAAGGATGTTATTTTTTATGAATGATCACCCCTAAAAGTTTTAATTTAAAAATATTTAATATGCATGCAATAGAAAACTTTTGCTGTTTTATTTAAAACACTTTGTTGTGCTTTTTTGAAAGTTATTTAATAATGTTTGCTTAATAAGTTACAGTTACAAGCAATAATTGTTTATTTTCTGTTTGTTTGCAAAATGCCACTTAATGTATACTTAAAATGCTTGCAACTAAGCCCACAGAGCAGAATAGATAAATATTAATGTATAAAAATATATGTGTTTATCTGTACTGCCAATTTATTACTGAGTTACTGTCTTACAAGACTAAAAGGAATTTACTGATAGGAAATTGTTCTCAGCCAAGATTTGCCAGACAGATTTTTTTGTTGACTCCTCAAGATTTGTTTTATTTCCTGGTATTTTATTTATATCTATGACTTGATGTCTCTGTATGATTAGGTAGGTGTACAGGATTATATTACTCTTTACTCAGTACAGAAAGGTAGGTGAGCATGTACACGTGGATGGGGGGTTTTGCATGGTATAGTGAGACCCTATTATAAATATTTTCATACTTTTACCCAATAGTTTTTGCAATTAAGTGGGAGAGGTAGAGGTTTGAAGGACAGACTGGTGCTATTGGTGGCTGCCCCACCCCTGGAAGTGTTTGAGGGTGGGTTGGATGCAACCTGGTCTGGTTGAAGGTGTCCCTGTCCATACCTTTAGATGTCTTTAGAGGTCCCTTCAGGCCCAGAACATTCTGTGAATCTGTGACCTCTGTCAGTGGGTAATTTCAGCTACAGCATTTTCTCTCTTTACAGTCTTTACTCTATTTACTCTATTTACAGTCTTTGTTATTGCCAGTATTAATCAAGACATGAGAAGGTAGGATTAACAAATGTGGAATGTGTGCTCTTTATATACAATGTGTTTATGTAATGTAATATATGCAGAATTTTGATTGTTTCTTAAACATTTTTCTTTTTATTTTTAGAATTGCCCTGATATGTTCAGATTTAAAACTGAGTCAGGCATCTGTGTATCATGAGAGAGCTGCTGGAGAAACACATATTAGTGACTTGGAACAAGCAATGTATGTTTTTTCACTGAAGAGGCTGTATTTAGTTGGGACTTTTTTCCCTGCAGTTAATAAGTGCTGTTGGGGAAAAAATATTTAAAACATGATCTCTGGACACAACTTTGGTATATTAGCTTCTGTGCATGATTGCTGTGTGTCTGTCCACAGACTGAGTGTATGGTGAAGATTCCTAACACACTAGTACTTCATTATAAGATGTTTTTAAAATATACTTGAATTTACTTTTTCTTTCTTGTGATTTAGGTGTAGGCAAGAGATTGCACTGAAAAAATCAAAAACTGTACATACAGAAACAGAAGAAAGAAAAACATCTTCTGGAAATGCTGAGCTGAATATTAGTAGGGATGAGAATATCCTTAATTCAAGTGAAAAGGTTTTTATTTCTGCTTCAGTTTCTATGCTAAATTACTCTTTGCTTTTTTTAAATGCACTTGCTGGTTTGTTTTTAGGTAATACTTGGGAAATACATGAACACAAAAATCATGAAAAATGCATGCTACTTAAATTCTGCTGGCAGGCATCAGCTGAAGCTGAGCTGGGATTGCCTGGCATATTATTTGTATTGAGGAAGAACAAGAGTGGAATCTCTATTCATATGAAGCAAAATTGCTTTCCTATAAATGGATTTTGGGATTAATGCAAACCAGTGGAAAGGACTGAGAAGCAAAAAAGACACTGTATTCACTCTTGGTCTCATTTTTTCTCTTCTTTCTCTCTCCCTTACATTACCACATACTGTTTTGCTTCCTCTTACATATTGTTTTAAAGGCATGTAAATATTTCAGCTCTGTCTTTACTGTCTCTTCTTTAGGAAGATAATTACCTTATGGATATTTTTAAAGCTTACCTACACTTTGCTCTTTGTTATGGCAATTCTGTCCTTACTTTTGTCATATCACATTGCGCTCTTTTTTTCCCCATTCTTGTGCATGTAAAATACCTTTCTTTTCTAATTACTAATCCCTCTCAAGTCCCCTCTTTTAGCTTTTGTAAATAATTTTTCCCCTTGAGTTTAGTTATTACCAAGAATCAACTTCTTTGTGACAGTAGCATATCTGAAGTAGTTAATCTGTCCTAAAATGAGTTATAATAGTGTATGCTTACTAGTTGAATGCCTTTTGAGGGTTACAGAATCCAAATCTCACAATAAACCTATTTTTCCTGTAATATAACATTGAATTTCAAAGTTAGAAAGTAGAGCCGGACTGTGGGATACAATAGTTAATAACAATTTATATTCCATCTAGATGAGTTTTTGAAATTTATGACGGTGTAATACTTTTGTTGTTTTTCAGGTTTTTGAGTTAAATGCAGCAACAGGAAAAGGACTGAGCGCACTTTCTTTCCCTTCCTTGTGGATTGAAAAAGCTGATGTACTAATTCAGCTTGGCTTGTATCAACCAGCGAGACTGCTGCTTGCAGAGGCCCATGCTGCAACTCAGGTACAATAAAAACTAAATGGAAGAAGAAACATTAATAAAATATGGAGAAAAATGTTCATTTTTATTCCTCATAATAATGATCAAACTGCAAAAATAAACGTTCTCCTCCCACCCCAAACCAATGTCATTTTAAGTTTCTACATGTATAGTACATACATTTAAATATATGGTGTTTGAGTCCAACTTTATGGGAGTTTCCTGAAGGTTATTTAGATTTGTGGAATAGTGTTAGCATCTCTGTCTGCTTTGCAGTGGCCTTGAAGGATACTGGTATATCCCAACCTTGTTTGTTTGCATAGGTGGAGGATGTTCAAGGTTTGCTCAGAAGAGAGAGAGGGTGTTCAGCTCCATCCTCTTGACATTTTGATCGTTTGAAAGTCTCCTTATTTCATTTTGAACTTCATTATGGTTTTAGTGCTAACTGTGTTTTGCTAAAACTGAAATTACACCTTAGAATTCTGGCAGATCTGAAATAAGTGTCCATGTGTTCCACCAAACAAACCTGCATCATCTCAATACGATGAAGGGTTTACATTTCAGATCTTTTCCCTATATCCACCACTCTCCACTACAGCACTGTGCTTCCTTATACAAGTTACTGAAACATAATTATTGCAGCAAATCCTTTACTTTTAAAAAAATGTAGTTATTATCCTGTTATTTTGTGTAATAATATTTCTCATGTAAGTAAAAACTGCCTGTATATGTTTAGCATAGTCATGAATACTTTGAATAGTATTATATGAATAATATTCAGTAATAATACATGCCTCTTTTTAAAGCATTAATTAAGTATTGTATATACAGAAAAGTTCAAAATACCTTCAGGAGGACAATAATTTTAATGATATAATTTCCTACTAGTACCCTATATGTCTGTATGCTAGTATACAAATCTTATACTGTATTTGTCCCTTACATGCTACTGGTTATATAGTGTGTAACTATTGTGAGTTCACTGGATCTCTGTTGTATCTACATATCAGTTCACAAAAACAACTTTCATCACCACATTTCTTCATCAGATGCTGACAAACACTAGCAGATTTATACATACTAAACAATAGCAGAAAAATAGCTTATTTGACTTGTGGGGTAGAATATAGGGGAACATAAAGAAATGTGAAGTAGATTTGAAGTTCTTCATATAAAGTAGACACTTCATGTTTTTGAAAAAAAGAATTAATATAAGGTGTAACTAAGAAATTCAACAACCAACTGGGGAAATACCATTCACTTTTTATTTCTGTAAGTTTAAAAGACAGACAGACAAAAATGAATAGCAGTAGTGTATTTTGGTATATAGATAACATATCTTTCTGTGTAGGAATTGAGGGCCCTGTCTGATGTGTCAAGGTGCTTGTACTTACTGGCTGTGTTGGCTAACCTGGAAAGGAACCACAGACAAGCTAAAGCACTCCTGGAGAAAGCACAGCTTCTGGGAGGAAATGAGCAGTTCTGGTACAACAGTACTCTTAGTCTGGTAGAAGCAATTCTAGAGGAAGAGGGGGAAGGAAAACAGAGCATGGTAAGGAAGTTTTTTGGTTTGGGGGTTGTGGTTTGGGTTTTTTTCAGCTATGGTCCCTCTCAGTGAAGTATTATAGCCTTTTCATGTCAATAAAAGCAAAATTAGGTGTTAAATGCAGTTAATGTTGTTTTCTCTGTGTGTTCAACAGACGTTAATTACACATTCCAAACACATGCAGACCACTAGGAATGAGATTTTACCCACAAAACTTTAGGATGTTCTTATATCCTAATCTCTCTATATCCTTCTACTGAAATAAGAGCATTTATAATATAGCATGTGTGACTAAATCCCAGAGATTTGATTCTCTTGATTAGAATGCTTTTGTATTCAGACAGTTCTGTTAACACTGGAGTATTTATTTTCCATATTTATTAAAAATTATACCTTTCAATATTATTTCCTAGGATGCTTTTCCTTTTCAAGTATTCCAAATACTTTTACAAATACTATTTCTGGATTATGGAAAATACTACTATAACATATATATGTTTTTAGAAAAGCCTTTTCCTATTTGACCTATAACATTAAAATATCCATTTACTGTTCAGCCCTTAACTTTTATGAGTTTCAGCATGAATATAGTCTTGTGTCTGTGATGATCTGCCCTGTATTGATGAAGTGTACAAGTCTGTGTTGTATGGAGGGATTATTTTGATTTGGGCTGAACTCATATTTACTATTTTTTGCTTTGCACCTCCCAGATCAGTCTGGCTCCATCTTCCCTCCTTGTGTTTATGAGCACCACTCACTTGATCATCAAAATATCTAAGTATGATCATAACTCAGACTTTCTAGACTTATTTACAGTTATCAAAAGCCAGGAGGGGAATATTGGGGAAAGATAATTAACAAATTCTGTGCAAAACTTAAGATTTCTAAATGAATGTTTAATATTATACATAGACATGTAAAATAGAATTCTGAAAGTTCTGGTGTTGCCTGCAGGCTTGTGAGATTCTGGGACACACTGTAAATGTGCTCCAATCCACGTTACTGAGGAGGCCTGGCAGGCAGGCAGAGCTGGGGTTTATGATTGCATCCCTTGAAGCCAGGTACCTATCTCTTCATTCAAATATGCCTAGCTTCTAATATGCACCTACATTGCAAATAAATGTGATTTTTACAATGCTTCCTTGTTATACTGTGGTACATTCTGTGGATTACCAAATATTTTTTTTCTAAGTGATTTATGTGGTGGTTTGGATTTTTTTTTAAATTTAAATTTCTTTCCCAATTTCTTTGTTCTTGTATGTAACTGCCTGTTAAGCGAGTTGGTAAGTTGGTAAGGGAGTTCAGATGCCACAACCTGTTGTGCATAGTTTGCAGTGTAGGTTACCTGAAGGTGGGAGGTACCAACAGAGGTATCTGTTGGAGCTGGGTACTACAATAATTAGATACATGGAACAAGTGGCACCTCATTTCTAATCTCAAAATATCGTATTTTGATTTTTCAAGAACATACTATAATTTGTAAAACACACATTTTAAGAACTATGAGGCTTTTAATAGATTTTTTATAATTTAAAGGAAAGCGGAGAGAAATGTGTCTGTTCTCAAACATAGCCTGTGCTTTCTGACTGCTGTCTTGTAATTAATTTTTTTTCTAGGAAAACACTTATTCAGATACATTTTTCTCAAGATCATATGACAATTAATGCTGAGTCTGCTCAGTTGCCACATATGCTACAGGAATCTTACAATAAATTGGTTCAAATTGAGAAGGACTTCGTTCATTATGGGCATGAAAACTGCAGTGCTGAGATACTGCTGGAATGTGCAAATATCCGTAGGTAAGACTGTACCTCTATGGAAAAATTTTATTTAGATTGAACTAGTCCACAAAATGCATTGTTTATTTTTTGTAGTCTAATGAAAGACGGAAAAGAGCAGATAACATTGTTATGTTTTACATATCAGTGTTACATGCCTGTTTGCATTCTTCACGTGTTCTATATTCAGAAAAGTACTGTAGAATCAAAAATTCTTTTCACTGTTGGCAGAGTTAATTTTAGGTGGTACCAGTGATTTTTGTCCTATTTTGAGGTCAAAACAAAGTATCAAGGTCTCTTAAGTCAGTGTTTTGACTTGCCATTTGCAAAGGTCTTTTAGCAGCCACACCAGTCATTCCCAAGTATTTTACAGGCTTTTACCATTCTTACTGTTGAAATGTTTCTCTAGAAATTGATGCAATAGCAAAAGTGCAGAACATGGTGTGCCTGGAATCCCAGATGCTTCCAAGATACCCCCTTAAAACGACTGGGATATGGTTTGTACCCGGGCCATTTTGTTACTGGGAAAGACGTACTCTGGAATATTGTCTGCCTTTCTTCTCTTTTAGTCTTGACATCTCCTTGCACTGCAGCAGGGCAGTTACAGGAGAAGGACCTTGGAAAAACAGCTTGTGAACGTTTGCTTCTCCTGTTTGAACATTTCAAAAAACACCTGTACAATATTTTGTTAATCTTTTTATCTATTAATAATCTATTTAATTAATCTAATAGATTCATTATTTTATTATCTATGTTCAGTACTGTTTATACCATAAAAATAAGCATTTTCTTATGTTAGTTCCTTTGGATTTATGGTGGTGTTTTTTTCAGGTTGATTGCCAAGCAGGAAAGGAACAGAAAAGACAAACACAGTCATTATCTAGATGCTTACAACTTAGCTCAGAGGGCAGTATCCAAAACTGAGGAAGTGTTTCAGAATGTTCGGAGTTTATTTGCATTTAATGAGGTATGGATATTTTTTCTCCTACTTGTTAAAAAAAATCTAGTTTAGTTGTAATATTCACTCATTCTTGGGTAATTCCTGGAAGCCCCAAATGAGATTATCTTCTTGCAATGATAAGCATTGTTTGAATATAGAAAGAAATATTGCATGTCAAAAGAATTTACAGTTTAAAAAGGGATGAAGAGAGGATTTGTTTGGCCTTTATCAATTTTATTTAATTCTGAAATTTATCTATTAGCTACAAAAGAAAAAGTATAAACTTGGGGATATTTTTGATTTTCTAAATACCTCAGAGGTTAAAAATTCTTCAACATAAAGTGTTTCTTCTCAGGAGAAAAAAAATTTTATCCAGAAGTTTACTATAAATAAAGAAAGTCTATCCTCAAAACAGTATACTGGGGGTAATGGAAGCCTGCAGCCTACTTTTCCAGTGTGTACCATTATTATGCTCTGGCATCCAGCTGCATGTACACATGTGTAACTCTTGGAATTGGATATTTGTACCAGGAGCTTAAAATGTGAAAAGCAAAAACCCCACTGCTCTTGTTCTGTGCAACTACTTTGATTGCTTTGTAATGTATTTGACATTGAAGTTTATCTTTTAAATTACTTAAATATCTTCATTGGAATATTTCTGCTCTGTTGAGGTGAGATTGCTAAAATCTTTGCTTCTTTAATTAAAAGAAATACAAAATTCTAACTTCTTATCAGGTAAATTTGCAAAAATACGTGACATTAGAATTCTACATTGCTTTTTTTGTATTTCAGAGTACAAATATTAGTATCCCATTAATAAGGCAATTAGCTAACAGGAAAATAAATCTTGTAGAAATTCTTTTGGATATATTTCATCTTGTTATTACTGAGAAAAAGCGTAAAGAATTGGGAGAGGTGTCATCTCATGAAATTGTGGAGGCATTCATCATTGAAGAGGATGCATTAGAACAGGTAATACAAAATATTTAGTGCTATGAATTGCATAAAAGGTATAACAAAGTTTCCCAGGGACGTTTTCTGTAGCACAACTTCTTCCACTACTGAGGAAACAGGCCTCCAGACCATTTCTGTATTTTTGGAGCAAGGGAGGCTCAAGTGTGTGATTTTAGTCCTGGGGATGGTTTATTGGGCACCCTCCCCTTATCCCATGCTTTCCTTGGCATTGATTGTACTTTGCTTATGGATCTCACATGGAGGGTTTTTTTTATTTAAATCAGTTGTTAATGAATTTGTGTATCTATTAAAGACAGGTAATTTGTAGTTGAAAGTGTAATCATAGTTAACATACATATTGGTATGTGAATAGATATGTGTTACATTTTTTTTAAAAGTATATTTCTATCTGTATGGGTATATATGAGCAGATAAACCTAAATATGTATTTTGCCAGGATTGGAAGCATATGGAATGTGCTGTGGGTCACATTACGCTGGCTCAGTTAGCAAATGTACAGAATCTCTGTAAAGGCTGTCCCGACATCAAATCCAAATGCCTGTATCTGACTGGAAAAACTCTTCATTTCCTTGCCATTGCTGTAAATCCTGTATATTCAGAGATTTACTGGAAGCCCAGTGTTATGGTATGCATTCTTTTCTGCACTTAAATTAATTCCTCTGTGTACAGTTTATCTGCCCCAATGTTTTTCTATGTAAGTTTGTATAAAACTGCTCTTTATTGTTGTAGAAAGAACCCCGTGTAAGAAAAGGAAGGTTGATTGAGGCATTATAAATACGATGATGAATTAAAGCATTCAGAAGAAATTAATGGAGGGCAAATATTAGAAAGTCAAAATCTTAGAGGTTGTATGGGGGGCCTTTTTAGTTTCTGTTGTTCATATTGCCATTGTAACATATTAAGAAATTTTTATGTCTGATGATATTAGTAAATCTCTCACTATCAAGGAGTTAAGGCAGTAATTTCTATTATGATGAACTCTGTTTTCACATAGTCTTTCAGAAAAGAAATGAAACCAGCCTTACTTAGTGGAATGATTAATTATTCTTTTTTTTTTACTGTGATGGGTAGGAAGAAGCTAAATCAGACATCAGAAAATCTTGCCTGTCTTCAGCAGAATGCAGAGAACAGGACAGGACAGACAGTGGTTTACTGACTAATAAATGTCATAATGATAAGGACAGGAGGAAAATACAGGAATTAAAGGTACGTTAGCATATGAGCTTCCATTAGAATTTGAGTGCTTCCTTTTGATGGAATAACAGGCAACGTGTCAGTTCTGTTTGAACTGACAGTGGAAATGTCTGTAACACAAACTTGAACTTACAAAAGAAAAAAGTCTACAGAACACCTTCCAACAAACAGCTTTCCAACCCTGCCCTGCTGTGTCGCTCTGTCCTACCCCACAGGATGTGGGAGCTCCCAGGAGAGCTCTCCCACTTGCTCCCAGAAAGGAATGATTTATCCCTCAGTGGTTTCCTGCTGATGAGCACGTAGCATCCAGTACTAGATGAGCAGGCAGCTTCCTCTGTGCCTCACAGACATGTCTTTCGAAGGGAGCGTAACATTTTGCATACTGGGAACAAAGAAATTACTTCTGTCACAAAATGTGTAAAATTCAATGAGCTGATCTCTGTTAACTGCTGCAGTTGAAAGCACTCTAGGAATTGGGAATGTACAGTCTGTGATGCCAGTAAAATTAATAAATACCTGAGATAAGAGATTTGTGGGTTTGTTTGGATTAAATGTAGGTAACCGTCACTGGAAACAACTGTATTGGTCTTTGTTTCTGAATGACTCATATTGCCTGGAATTCAGTCTATTCTGCTAAGTACACATTTTATGTTAAAAGAAAGTATTGTATTAAAACATTTATTTTTTAATGTTGTGTAACGGATGTTGTTGTCTGCTAAATACTTAATCTGTATTTGCATATTTTGTTCATGTGTTAAGTAAATGCCTTAAAAAGAAGCAGCGTGAAAATTAGTCATAAAAAAGCAACACTTATTTTCTCTAACACACTAGTAATATGTGTACATATAACAAATATTTAATATTAATTTTACTATAAACCTTTTATTTTTATCATCTAGAAGGAACATAAGATGGCTCAGAAGTATCTTTCTCAGTCCAGTGAGGCTTTGCTGCAGTGTATGGGGATTGCATTCAGTCAGAACGTGACTGATGTACTGACTTCTGCTAGTTTGGAAATGGCCGAATGCTTTCAACAGTTTGATCCAGTTTCAGCAAGCCAGTTTTTGGCACTTCATCAGGTAAGGCAGCAATGTTTGTGCTGCTTTTCAGGGAGAGAATGTTGGAAGTTGCATAAACAAAACTATATTTGCACAGCCTGAGAATTGGTCATACGGAACACATGTAGGGTCCTGTGTGAGAACTGGTGAGTAACACAGGTCATCAAATATAGGATATGTTTGCTAAGTTTAGATCATTTGATTGCTGGCTTTTTAACAATTGTGTTATCTGTTGTGTTTGACCTGATGTTTACATTGATGATTGCACACATGAAAAGATTTTAATAAGAATTACTATAATTTGATTAGCTAAGATAAGACATTACCATAAAATATGGTTTCATTCTTCCCTAAGAAATAATTTTAAAAATGTTTCTCTGGATTTGTTTATTCATTATTTTGAAGTGTGTAAGAAACATTTATATTCAGTTTGTCAAACTGACATGTGCACAGCATGGTCCCATAGATGGCTTGAAGGTGTGTGAATCATTCATGTGAATATGTACCTCCATCCCAGAGAAGATGCAGAGTAGCTCTGAGGCTTATATTCCCCACATCAGGAAGGAACAGCACATAGTTCCTACACAATGATCTCTGTTTTAGAAATACAGAAGAGCACCTTATACTACTTTCCTTCCTGCCATTAGCAGCACAACTGAAGAAAGTTATGACAAACAGAAAGCACCTGATTCTCTGTCAACACTTAAATTTGCACTCATGGGTGGAGTGGACTGGGTAGGTCTTCTGATAAATCAGAATCAGCTAATACTGGATTTCATGGTTCAGACTCAGCTTACTTGAAAGGCTGAGTTCAGAACATGGTATTTACCATTCCGTGTAGACCTTCGATGACTAAAAACAGGAACCTAGATGATAAATGTAGACAAAGAAAATCAATTCCAGCTATTCACATTTAAGAACTTTTCCTAAATTATTACCAGACTGTTTACATTAGCCTGTAAGCACAAACAGCAGTCTTTTGCTAGTTCATCTCACCTTTAAAGCAAGAAACTGTTTCTTCCACATAGATATATGCTATAACACACATAGTGTATATATGTATTTGTATAATTTTTGTAAGGGAAAATAAATGTAAAAATTTTACAGAGCTGTTCAGTGTCTATGATGATGAAGAGTATTCTCCTAACGGCTACATCCAACACCAGCAGCTCTCAGCTGGCAGCATTGCTGCATCTCCAGAATCATTTGAAACGAAACAGAAACACAAGTGATCTTCTAAAACGTGTGGAACAGCAACTGGCTGCTACTTCAGTGGTAACTTTGAGATGAGCTTCTTATTAAGGTTTATATATATTTTATAAACACACACAGAGAGAAATCTGTGTGTGTATATAGGACATGGGACAGTGATGGGTTGGCAGTACTGGGGGAACAGCTGGACTCTGCTCTCAGAGGGCTTTTCCAGCCTGAACAATTCTGTGATTCTGTGAGCCACCCCTGCACTTTCCCCCGCTACCAAAACCGTGCCACGTAAACCAAAGACAATCGTATATAGTACTTGTTGGGGAGATGCCTGTTCTTAGCAAGATTTTGAAGGACTTTTACAAACGTTACTATGAATTATCCTACTCCCTTCTTTTACTAATATTCTGCTAGGATTTGATAGCATTTTAACTTCAATAATAGTGTAGTTGCCAAAAAAGTCATCTTGTTATGAAGAGTGCACTAAGTTACAGTATTTTTAGTTTGTTTAATATTTATACATCCTTTTGCACTGCACAAAAATTCCACTATCATAGAACAGTCGAGGTTAGAAAAACTCTGAAGGTCGTCTTGTAAAACCCCCCTGCTCAGGCAGGGCCACATAGAGCCAGTTATCCTGGACTGTGTCCAGGTGGCTTCTGAATATCTCCAAGGATGGAGATTCCACAACCTCCCTGGGCAAACTGTGCCAGTGCTTACTTCTCTCAAGGGAAGTGTTTCCTGTTCTTTGGACAGAGTCGCTTGTCCTGGCACATCTGCTAAGTGTTTGGGCCTTTTTATTAATATATATATATATATATGTGTGTGTGTGTGTTAGTACCTTCTTTCCTAGAATTACTATCAGTTTTATAATGAAAGAACTAAGAATGGGGTTTTTAAAATCTATGAAAATAACACTGCTTTTCAACTATTGTACAGGCATGGAGGAACCTCTGTATTCCTGTTGAACATTTTAATATAATGGATGAATTGCCATCCAATTTCTACATAGTTATTCTCCAGCACTCAGAAGACAGGTATAAAATTTCATCATTTTGGTTTAGCATTGTTTGTTACAAATGTCATCTTTTTTTACCTGTAAATAATCACTATTTTGGTTATTTATTGCCTTTCACTTCTAATTTTGCTGGACTTGAATTTTAGCATAGTGAACAAATTAATATATAAATAAAACTGCCTGCAGCTCAAAGCTGGACATTTTCTGTACTTTTGATTTCCCTAATTCTCTCTTAAGTCTCCAGAGGTCACTTGAAAAGTTTCACGCCACTCTTGATACCTTCCTAAATTCTGTTAGTAGTTTCCAGCCCCTATTGCTTATGCTCCTGGAAATGTTAGGAAGGGTCATATTTAGCTTTATAAAGCCACCAGTTATCTGATGATTGCAGCCTAATCAGCAACCACTCATAAACTGAGTTATAGCAATTGACTGAGTGCCTTCACCAGTTCTAAAATATCTTAAATAATTATCATGGAACAAATGGAGGTCTACCTTATTGACTATATAGTAATAAAAGAACTTACCTTACTGCTCTCAGTTTGTTCCAGTTAGACTTTGCAGGGATTTGAACCCAGGGTGGGGGTAGATCCTGCATTTTGAGAGTATTTGTGATCACATTAAATTAGAGGGTAATAATTACTCATCTAATAAATATGAGTCATATAAAAAAGGCTGAACAGTCAAATAATCTACTCAGCACTTTCCTTTTTTCCATAGATCAAATCTGTACAGTTCATTGATTGAGATGCCCAAAGTAAGCATTGCACAGCAGAAAGAAAAACTCCCCCAGCTGATGGGTAAGTACCTCTTATATTTATTTGAGATATAAAATCATTGCAGTGATGTTATGAGAAGGCTCATAGCTTTCACTGTTGCAGTCAGTAAAATTTCAAAATACCTTTTCAAATAATTTTAACTCTTCCTAATTATCAAGGAAAATAAATTCCTAAATATATGTTTCGTTATCAGGTATAATGTATCTAGTCACAATTTGCAGAATTTTTGTTTATATTTGAAGGCTGAAGTTGTAACAGATAAATAATTGTGGAGGTTTTTTCACTGTACATTTCTGTATATATTTTATGCTTATCTATATGTCTGTATTTAATTGTAAAAAAATACCATGGCTTTAGAAACTGGTGGTCTTTGTACAATCATTTCTTCAAGTACAAATATGTCTCAGAAGTAGTCTTAAGGGGGTGTTATCCTCCTTTTAACAGTGCAGGCCAAAGTGTCTCGATTTCCTGTGAATCCTGATGCGTTTTGTGTTTTGTTGGAAAAAGTGCGTCTGTACAAGCAGCAAAAAATGAAGAGTCACCTTAAACAAAATGTCATTCAGAACTTGCAAGAGTTTGTCTCCAAAACAGATGTGGTAATGTATTTTATTACCTTAGATTTAAAATAGGGTGAAAAATATATACTAAAAATACGATAGACACTTTATGCAGAATTTTTCAGTTTATTCCAAGGGTCGCATCCCTAGGCTTAACAGTTACTAAGTGCTGTGTAGTCTGCCTCAAAATTTAATCTTACTGTGCTGTTGTTGCTGTGTTCATCATCATACAGAAGCTTTGAAATGTTTGGTGGTTTATCAGAATTGAAAATTGATGCAGTTTACTTGAAAATGTGCTGTACTTCTGAGATTTGCATTTGCAAATGTACATTGCTTTTCATATCACATGAAAGCCCATGCTGTCCCAAGGAAAAAATCAGGATCACAGATTGCAACCCTTTAATCAAATAAGACTACCTTAGCCAGAGATTTGTTACTGATTTCCAACATAGAAAAATTTTTCTAGGGCACACAATATCTTCTGCACTGTAGTTCCTTATTTGGACACAGTTGATCCAAGTCTGTTAGTCACAAAATTTTACTTCAAGGACACGTCTTGTTGGAGTCTAAGTTTGAAGAACCCTCTTAAATTCTAGCTGATAAAAGCTTTCTGTTACTGCAGGAAGGCTGTTTTCTAAGGACATTGTCACAATCAGTGAGCACAAGTTGTGTAACACAAAGGTACTGGCAAAGCCTGTGACTTTCACAAGCACTTTTAATCTGCAAGGTGACAGATGGTTTTCTACACAGTAAATGTACAAGTCTACATCCTAGCATTTTAATTTACTTTCATTTTGGCTTTGTTAGATAAAACTTAGGTTTTATCTAATGATCAAGAAAATTCACTGTTAAGTATATAGCATTAACAAAAGCTGTTATAGGCCTATTTCCATCATTAGTATAAAGGTAAAAAATACAGATCACATTGAATTTTCTGTAAAAGTTTTCATTGTGTCATTAATGACACAACTTTGACAAATCTGGTTCTTGAATTGTAATTCTGTTTTATTCATCATGTTGGCATCTTCCAGTTAAAACACCCATTATGGTGTGAAGCGTTGATCGTTTTCTCTTACCCATGGCCAATACCTATTGTATTGTCAAGTTTGTAAAGGTTGCTGTGGTTGTGTAAGTAAAAGAACAAGGTGCTGAGATAACATCAGGTTGAACAGATGACAAGAACAAGTGGCTTAGGTTTTTAAAATGTACAGGTTACAACCCCCAGTCCTGTATGCAGCCTGTACCAACTCCACAGAGCCTGAGTGAGGAGCCCAGTCATTAATGCCAACACTCCTCACCATTTGATTGAACTCTTTTGTCCAGGGAGTGGTTTTGTGTTGGATTTTACAAGCCTCAGTTTTCAGTGTTCTCCTCTCCTACATGGTTCTATTCTCTCCTTATCTGTTTTCTTAATTCTGTTTAGTTTGTTCCTAAATTGGCCCCGCTGATCTCTCCATACTTTTTCATTTGCTTCTTCTATGTTCATCGTGCAGTTTCTGTTCACTTCTCAGAGTTGTCCTTGTCCAATTTCTTCTCATTATTTGGTGGAGCACATTGTCTTTTCTTTCTGCTCTACTTTTCTGCCATTCCCCATTGAAATTGCTGAAGTGTATTATTGCTTAAATCGTAAATATTGACATCTTGTACTGATTGCTATGTTGGAATATTTTGCAAAATGCTGATAGGAAATTTTGAAGTAAAGTAGTTTTCAAACTGACTTTTCATATTTTGCATTTTATGATGTTTCAAATTACTTGATTTAGCCTCTGATTTAACATTTAAAAAATTATATAAATAATGGTATTTAACCAGGATGGAGGGGGAAAGTATTCTAATTTTTGTTTCAATGTGTGTGATAGACTCCAACAGAGAAAACAGATGATAATGGACTTGATTTGACATCAGATTTCTCTGAAATATTAGAAATTATGGAAGAATATCTGAAACCAGTGCTGTCACAGTTTGATTTTTCTGCTATCAGGTAAGACATGTTGACTTGTTTGATTATCATTTGTGAAGACAGAGCCCTGACTGAAGTCCTTCAAATAAAGGAATGGTTTTAGCAAGGGTGGCCTGCTGAATGAAGGTTTTACATCCTGAAGGACAGGATATGCAGGATATGCCAGACTAAGAGACTGAGCCACATGATAGACTAATGGGCGTTTCTAAGAAGCACCATTCTCCAGTTTAAGTTACACTTACACTTCAGTATGTAACATTATAATTAAACTATTTAAAGATGGGATTTCCAAAGGACAGGAACTCAAAAGGGAGCACATCCTTTGTGTAAAATTTAATTTTGGAAGCATTGAAGGAGTTTAGTCTTTGGTTTCCTGTGAAAAGTTTTACCTACACCAGTATTAGTACTGGTAATATTTTGACTGAATTCCTCTTCCCAGAGAATCCCAGCGTGTAACAGTTTCAGCAGCTGAATCAGGAAAAAAGAACATGAAAGACAAGGACACTAAACAAGCTGGAATGCAGGGTATGTGCCCCTCAGAGTACAATATGTGTGTGTGTGTGTGCTTATGTACAGACAGATACGAAGGTCCAATCAGTTTAGTTTTAATTTTATTTAAAGCAGGGAGAAGACAAAGTCTTGGGTTTGTCTGGTTTATTTTCTATATCAAGTCAAGCATTTCAGAGTACTATCAAAGAGAAGATTTATATGCTGGATGGAGCTACCCTTCTGTATTTATTTAGAGTTTTCCAAACCATACAGGCTGTAGACGCTTAAATGAAATGGCTTTATCATAAATCATTTTTTTTCAAGAGAAAAGCTAGAATAAAGAGCTTTTTTAAGTCTGTAGATCAATTTGTGTTTTGTCTTTTTCTGCATTTCATGGACTCTCACAGGTTGTTGGCTTCAGTGTAAGGCTAATGCTGTAGTACATCCCTAAACATATCTTGAGTAGTTCTGCAAAAAGTGGATAAATTTTCTGCCATGCATTTGCTCTTTCTCTGTAGAACAGAAATGTTGTCATAATAATACTTAATACTTTTTTTCCTAAATACCATAAACAAAATTTTTCTAGAGAAAGACACAGTTAGTATTAGATAAGGGTTCCTTTACAACTCTGTGCTGTTTAGCCAAACACTGCTGTAGCAATTTTACAGTTCCAGACATAATTTTCCTGAATGTGTTGCATATACCTGGACTTGGATGTGAGATTGTTTGTTATTAATATGGGGATATTTCTCCCTCTGAAGAATTGGTGCTCGTAAATGCATAGAAGCTTGAGAACATCTTAGGAGTAATGGTAGCAAAAGAAGTGTTTTTGCATAGTGCACTTGATCCACAGTACAATGAAGTTCACATGTCATAGAGCAAATTTAGGTTTTTACATCTAACTGCAGTTGTTTATATACAAACTGAGAACTACTAAATCATGTTCTGTCACATTTCTTTAGAGACATCTATGGATTTGGAATTGTATGTGGTATTGCTAGGGGATACATTACTTATGGAATTGCCTTTGGAAGCTCTGAGTATATTTAAAGAGGAAGGAATAAGTTCTGTATCCAGAGATTTTTCTCTCCAGATTCTCTACAATCGACGACGTTTGGCTGAGTCAGGTACTGTTAGATAGATAAACAGTATTTATTTATGAAAGATAAATGAAAGATATTCTTTCATTTAGCATAATGATGCAGAAAACAAGATACTTAAAAGTTTAAATAATATGAATGGTGGTGTATATTTTACTGGAGGGCTGACACATACAATATGTTTCCAGTATTTTAGATGGATTATATAGTACAGTAGACTTATTTCAATAATGTACAGGCTGATGATGCAATGGTACCTAATTTAAAATACATTAAAGAATTATGTAAAAGTCAGTGGAATCTAAAATGGCTTGCAAAGTTTCAGGCCAAGTTTACAAGTATGGTCTTAAAACTTTTAAAGCTGTTTTCCACTGAACTGAAAAAAAAAAAGAATTTACACTTCTGTTAATATTCTTTAACATTACAGTAGGACTGCTTAAAATAACAAATGAGAGAAGCTTTTAATCTCTGAACTACTTTCTTCTTGGTTTTTGTACTACAAATGTACAAAATCAGATCCCCATAGGCTTTATGAACTTCCCTACTGCAGACACTTGAACCCTACAGAAACTCTTCAGTGAAATGAGTTAAAATGAGGTAGTTGAACGGTTGGTAAACTTGACTTCATGTCATCTTAAAACTCATTTCTTAGATCTAGAAGTGAGTAATAAATGCAGGGAGTAAGCAGTTTTTGTATAAATCAAAGATACCTTCTATTACTGAAGTTAAAAATTTGAAGTTGCATTTTGCTCATACATAGGTAATACTACATAAAATTATTAAAACTATTTTTTAACTTTTTCTAAACTTGTTTAGAAGATCTTACTCTGTACCATGAAAGTATTCTGTTCCAGGGAGGTTCTTGTATAGTGCTTGTATCTGTAATATTTAATAGAGCCTTCACTTCACCTCTTCTTTCTAAAGGCAAAGAATATTTTTGGTTTACATACACACTCATACCCTGTTACAGGTCTTTCAGAAATACGAGTTTTATAACATGTCAGGTTTTTTCCATTTCTGTTTTTCCCTTTTTTAAAGTGAAACTCTTTATGGTTGCCTGATTTTAGAAGCAGATAAATGAGAGGGAGCAGAGTTGCAAAGCCTCTGTTGATGAGATTGTGACAGTGGCCACTGAGTGAGTGAACATGAGCTAGAGGAGTGTGAATGTGGATCTCAAACTGCCCCCAGCCTTCAGGGCACTCCAGTGACAATGGCTGAAACGTGTGCTCTGGGTGGTGGTCATATATACAGTGAGAAATAGAAGTCACTTTTCTGTGCTTTTTAAAATTCCCTTGAACAAATAAAAATTCCAATTCAAATATGACACTTTCTTTTTCGTTTTGGTATTTGTGTGTCCCACAGAAGCTTCAGTAATTCCATTAACATCAACAATTAACAAATGTGGCAATAGGCCTAGAAAGTGCTTTGATAATCACTGCTCAACTCTATCCGAAATTGGCAGTGTAATGAAGCATCTCCAGCTTGTTTTCCTCTTTAAAGCCAGTATTTTTAGGCAAGAAGGTTTGGGTGATGTCCTTGCCTTGCTGTGTTCTGAAAGGAATTTTTATTTTTCCACTTGATCCTGTTGTTGTTATCACTGTTTATTATTGTTGTTGTTTATTGTTGTTGTTGTTACTACAATATATATATGTAAACCTTCGAGGACATTTATTTTCTAAAACTGCCTATTATTATATTAAAAAAAATTTCTTTTCAATTTCACAGAGACAGATGTTGAAATATCTAAAGAAACAAAATCAAAATCACGTCAGAAAAAGAGTGTTCAAATGGTGAACTTTCCACATTTTTTAAATAAGCTTTATAGGAATAGCTTTTATTTTTTTGTTAAAAATGTTAGAGAACTTGCATAGAAAAGTGTTCAAGCAGCTTGCATAGAAGCTCATTATGTGTGCTAGAATTCTCAAGTGGAGTAAATGCCACATAAGTCCATAAAAATTTTGCTTACTGTTGATTTTGCAAGGGGTTACTTCTTGGAAGAATTGTACTTTGTAAATGGGACGTATTTAATAACCCACCAAGGGAGCTGCTTAAAGTTACTAAAAGATGTCCTGCAACAATATATTTCATATAGTGTATACATACAGTTTTTATAAATGTGTATCTGTATTTGCCTACGTGCAGACACGTGTATGTATGTAATGGGTGTCTGTGCATTTTAGATAATGCAGAATAACTTACGCTTTTAATTTCCACTGACAATTGAGTATCACCTTCATTAATCCTGCAGTTTTTTGACACATCTTCCTGTTAGTTGTTTGACAGAAAGCACACAATACTGTTAAATTTGATTGAAACTTTTATATGCAGTAGAATATGTATTCTTTTTAATTGTAGGCAACAGTTAATCGTGATTTACCCTTGAGTGTTGATGCTCGTAATTTTAAATGTATCCTTTCACAAACTGTGAGCCAAATGTATCAGATAAACTTTCTTCTTTTGTTGTTTAAATCACGTTGTTTCTGCTTAACTGTTTATCAGACATTGTGGACCCCTATAATGAAGGAAGTGAAGCAGGTAATATATATTAAATAATAATTTCTTCACCATTTACCCATGGAATTGAGAAAATTTTGCACCAAAAAATGAAGTCATGACATAAAGATGTTGGCAAAAAAGCTTAGCTGTTCATCAGAACAGTAAATGGAGCATCAGTAAAACAATGTAACAGTTAATGGAGGATTTTAATTGAATCACAGAATCCCAGACTATTTGGATTTGTAGGGACCCTAAAGATCATCCAGTCCCACCCCCTGCCATGGGCAGGGACACCTACCACTACCCCAGGTTGCTCCAAGCCCCATCCAACCTGGCCTTGGACACTTCCAGGAATGGGGCAGCCACAGCTTCTCTGGGTAACCTGTGCCAGGGCCTCACCACCCTCACAGGGAAGAATTTCTTCCCAATATCCCATGTAACGCTGCCCTCTGGCGGTGGGAAGTCATTCCCTGTGTCCTGTCACTCCAGACCCTTATTAACAGTCCCTCTCCATCTGTCTTGTTGGCTCCCTTCAGCTGTTGAAATAGTTTTTAAGTCTGAACGCAACACAAAAGCAGCTGCTGAACAACCAGTGGCATAGCAGAGGATGGCTTCATGCATTTGCAGTTTCTCCTTCACAGCAGATCGAAATAAAGCACTGTTCATGTGCTTAGTATCTGGCTCTAGTGTCTATCTTTAATTTACACTAGTATGAAATATAGTCAAAAAGAGAAAATGATTTGTCATTAAATGTGCAATGTCCTTGGAGAGCAGAGGTGACGTTGGAGTCTTGTTTTCTGAAATCAGGACTCTGGAAATTCAGTTGTTTTATCCACCTACTTAAGTCCTCTCTGAGCCTCTGGAACAGAACTGTATGAGCAGTACTGGTGTTCAGTTCTTTACCCTTTCCTCAGGGTATCTACAGTTTTTTCTTTGTGCTTTTAAAGTCTTTAACCTGTCTACCAAATAATTCTTGTCCATTATAAGATACACTTTTCAAATGGGAATCACACTTTTACTCTGAAAATGTCACAATTGCTTCAATTTTAAAAGCCAGACTTAGGTTGCAAAAAACATGAAATCTAATGATAACCTGCAAATATTATAGTCTCATTTTAAAATTTTTGAAATTAAGATTTCCCAGTGTAGTTTGTAGCATGCTATGCTCATAAGGATGAAATTCTGTTATTACAGAAGCTTCAAGTCCTTCCCAGAAAATAAAGGAAATCCTAGAAAAATACCGTGACCTGTTCACAGCACAGTGGGAAGGTGTCATTGGCAATGTGCGTGTTCCAAGGTATGTAATATTCTGTCTGCTTTCTTGTTTTATCCATGTTTCTTGTTTAAAATTGTGCCTGTTTCCAGAGTCTTCGGTCATAAAAATAGGGTCAAGTTTTCCTGAGCTGGTAAACACATAGCAGACCATTGTTATTGTTTCCAACACAGATTTAGATTTGTAGACAGAATATTTTAGGGATCTGAAATACAGTGCCACAAAGGGATTTAGCCTGGTGGGTTTTGTCAGAGTCGCTGTATATGTAGATAATCTAATTTTGACAGAAAGTCTCCTGGTGCAGTCTTTGATGAATAAGCATGCGAGCATAAGTGTAATTTCTGGCTTTGCTTATAACTGTTTTTAAATCCAAGTGTTAAAACCTGTAGCATCTCCATGTACCCTGAGTAAGCTGTAAGGTTGGAGTACAGATTTCAGAGGCAAAGTAGTCAAGGTGCATCTCAAGAGTTCCCAATTTCAGACTTTGATTATGGAGTTAATACCATTTTATGGAGTATATTCATAAACACACCGTTCTTTCTAGAAGTACTTTACTTTTAAGATCAAAATCATAGAGGGATAAGAGGGATCTCAAGAGGTCAAGCAGTGACAAGTCCTATGAGTCAACATGGCCATCGCTGGATGTTCCTTCCTAACTGCTGTTTTAGCAATCAGTCCTTTGGAATCTTCCCTAATTAGTTAATGTCACTGAGTAGATTCTTTAGTATTTCTTCCTAGCAATTAGAAGGATGGTTGTTATCAAAGTGCAGGTTTTGCTGCCAGCTGGGCTAATTATCCACATCTCTTTTCAAACCCTAATGGCTTTGTGCCCTGGTGGGTGCAATGGGTGCCTATATAAATACTGCCTATATAAATACTGCCTTTGAATGTTAGACTAAAGACTGGGATTTCAAAGCTGCACAGTGCATACAGCAATGATTTTTTTAAAAATTTTTTAATGGAGATTCATCTAAAAATACACTATGCCTCTTGCTCACTAAGAGATGTTACTAAACTTACTATACCCCTGTATTAAAATAGCTACTATTAATTAGTCCCTATGAGTTACTACATTTTTCATAGAATTCTGCAGTCTGATTTGTCTCCTTGCTTTGCATGCTGACTTCTGTTGTAATTATTTCTGGAGTAAATAACACTGAAGTGCTTGCTGTGCGTAATTTCTGAAAAAGTATTCTTGTAAATAGTAAGATAAAAGTAACTTCCTTTCTTTGTTCTTCCTTCCTTTCAGCCAAGCTGAGTGGGAGCAGCTGCTGACAAGCTGTAGTGCATTTCTCTTCTATGGGATGGAGAGATTCATGTCTCATGTATTACTGAACAGATTGGTTGCTATGAACATCCCAAGTAAGATAAGCAAATTGAGAAATATTTTTTAGTGACATCACCTTTTATTTTTAGGCGTGTCCTACTGTATCACTATCACAGTATTGATCTTAGTAATTAGGGGCTTTTTTTTGAGATCCAGGATTTTTAATCGAAAACCTTTGTACTATGTAGGTTTTATTCTGCTGTGCAGCTTTCTTGTTATTCCTCACAAATAAGCTTGGTCCTTCTTCACTTCCAAATGTTGGAATTTCTTAGGTTCCAGAAATTGAGTCATCATCTAATGGTTTTCCCAGTGAATCCTCTCCTTTACTTTGGAATTAAGTATTTGGTTGCAAGTTATTATTTATTGCTTAGAACAACCTCTGTGGTGCCAATTCTCCAAAATTCTGAAGTCTCCACTGTGGCAAAGCAGAATTGCCCATCAGATCTGGGTTAATGCTGAAAGATTGTTCTGGTGTTATGGAGCATTTGTAGGCTCTGAGAAGGTATTTTCTTCTCTGCTTCTTCACAACAATTCGTCTTTTTGTTATAGCCTAAGGTTTAGTTTCAGGACTAGTTTTTCAGATTCACAATCTTCCTTTCTCCTCCTACTCCCCTTGCACATCTGGAAGAAGCTCAGCTTTGGAGCTGTGTGGAATTTGTCAGTGTAGCTGAGTTGCTGTATTGTGTTGATGTGTGAAAGTGAGGAGGACAGTGTACATCAGATTGTGAAGCCCTGCAAGGCAACAGGAAGCTTCTTCATGAAGTTTTGATTTTAGAAGTGATTTAAACATTTATATGCAAATATTATGGGAAATATATAACCCCTGAAGATGAGGTTTCAGATATCCATAGGCCAGATATTTACAGGTATGGCAGCTTTCGGAAAGTTGTTAAACCCTGTCCTGTGTCCTACTCTTAAAATATGCCAGGATTAATTCTGCCTGAGATTTCTGAAAGCTCTAACCTAGATGCAATATTATTAAATATTGAGTTTGCTAATTTACATAATGAAATAAAATATATCACTGCTGAATCTGAGCAGGAGACCAGGCTGAGAAAGAGAATGCAGGGGTTTAGCAAATCCTGAAATGCAAGATCAGAATGCAAATTAACCTTGCTTTATGCAGGGCATAATTTGGGAAAGCCTAGTAGAATGTGTTATACTTAAGGAAAAATAGTCAGTTAAACATTAATACATTAGGGAATGACTGCTTAAGAGGCAGAATTACAGAACAGAGTCGAGATGGATCACAAATTAAACAATGTACTCTTCCTAGGCTTAAAAAGAAACAAGCTCTGTATAGGGATAACTATACAGGAGTGTCATTTGCAAGTTATATGAAATTTTCCACTGTACTTATTTTTGCAAAGGTCTCAGCTGGAGAAGAATGTTGACAACATAGAGTAAGTCATTGGTGGAGAACAATAAGAGTGGTTAGAAGGCTGTACCACAGTTTGTGTGCTTAGTTTTATTCATAAATATGTATGTGCACTGATAGGTTTATATGCATTTTAAACATACTTTAGGAGGAAAGATCAACATATTGAGAGGAGATCTGCTCAGGTCAGGAGAATAAGTAACAGATTAAAACTACAGCAAACCAAACAGTGGCGAAGCCTTTTAATTCTGAGAGTATTCGGAGTTATTTTGCTGGAGACCTTTAAGGAAAGTGAGGCATGTTGGAGGTGTAACTTGGTCGTAACTTGTGGAGAGGAGCTGCATAGAAAACATTTCCATACCTGCATAGCGTAAACTCTTCTGAGAGTTTATAACTACAGAATTGAGTCATACAGGTCATTGGCTGTAATAAGATGGTATGTGGACTTCATTATCAGTTATACTAATGTGGCACAGCAAAAAAACTGCAAAACACTATGGAAAAGCATAGCAAAATTACATCAAATGATATTATGATGACTTTATTAGTTCCTTTACATTATACTTGACATTTTTTGCTGAAATATATAAGTTTTATATTAGTTGTTTAGACTGTGTTCAAGAAAGTAATTAACTTACGAAAGGCTTAATTTACCTATATTTATTATGCTGGACATTATTATTAGTGCAGATACCATTGCTATAATACATATTTTTCCAGAATGCAATTTGATGATTCTTCTGGATCTGGTACGATCACAGCAAAGTTACCAAAGAATTACAAATGCTGATATCCACAAAAGGTAGGACAAACATGATTTCAGTGAAGTCCACAATAAGCAAAGTTAAAATTCTGAGTTACAAATATTCTTGTTTACTTCTGTAAGTAGAAGAGCCTCTTTATAGGGCTAAATAGGATGAAAGCTCTCTTACAAGGCAGTGATAAGATAATCAGACATGGAAACCTTTCTACATTACTCTTACCTCCCAAACTGAGTTCAAGATTCTCAAAATGTTGTAATTGAGTATATAAAACTTCCCTTTAACAAATAAACTATTAAGAGTCCCTCTGAGGCTTCATACACTGAATGGTTTAACAATGGGACAGATTTTTGTTTAAATAAATTATTACGGCGCGTTAAATGGCCTGTTCAGAGTTTTTAATATTATTAATTGCAGGTTTTTTATCCTTAAAAGCATCTCAGTATTTTCCTTGCTTTTAAGTTGACAGGTGGCAGGGTTTGTATTCTTTTACTGTATGTCCATTAAGAATACTTGACAGATGACACGTGACAAATAAGTATAAAGGTATTAAAAGCAAGAAGAGTAGTCTTAGTGTCCTAATTTTATTCGTGAGTTACTTAGTCCATGTTGAATTTTCAAATAACCTAGTTATACTCCTGAGGGCCAGGATACCTTGCAAAGGGGTTTAGGTGGAGTGGAGCACTGGGCAATCATCAGAGACATGAAGATTAACACAGACAAATTACAGACTCTGCTCTAGGGACACCAGTATGAACCAGGAGAGGGGGGGCTGGAAGGGCCCTGCACAAAGGGTCCTGAGGCTGTGCCTGGGCACCCAGAGGGCAGAGCACATCCTGAGAGCAGAAATATCTTTTGACTTTTCTAATTATTCATTCCATGAAAAGGAAATAGAAAAAAAATTATCTCTAAAAATACTGTTTAATTAGTGCAACAATGCATAAGTTAAAATCAGTTGTGGGTAAGATAGGTTAGACACACAACTATATGTGTAAATATGCAGATCTCTGAATATATAACAACCTCCTGATATTTTTTATATCCTTTTTCACATCCCCTAAACAACCATTTCCTAAACCAAACCAAAATGCGATTCCTTAAACTAGTCTTTCCAACTCAGAACTTTCGAAGTTTCGCTGTAATAGATTGGTGAATTTATCAATAGGACTTACATGTTTGAGTCTAAAAGCCTCCTGAAAGTTTAGAATAATGTTTAAAACTGAGTCACATAACTACTTAGACAATCAGAGCATCTCCCCAAAAAATTACTGAAAAATTTAATTATCATCTTTTGATAAAGGTACCATGAAAAGCAGAGCCAAATAAAAACAAAATTCAACCTTCTGTTTACTGCAGTTCCAACCTTACAGAGTATCACTCCCATCCCATCACTAAAACAAAAATTAAGCAAAGAGACTTAATTAAATATTCAGCAGTAAAAAATCAAATCCCACATTACAAGTGATTTGCTTTTAGGCCTCCAAATTAACATCACACTTATGACACAGAGCAGGGTTTCAGTTCTTGCAGTTCTTTCTGTGTCTAAACATGTCTTTTCATGTGATTCCCAACATTTTTACTATGTTATAAAGGATATTCTGCAGTGTTTTGTAAAAGTTAGTGTGTCACTCCTTTCACATTTCCTGAGATGCCCCAAACGACAGTAATAGGACAGAGAGCAATCCTACCGGTAAAATTCCATCATGGAAAGATGTAAAGTTACCTAAATACATTGCATGAGATTCAAGCTTCTGTATGAAAGTCAGAAAGCACTTTATGCTCAGCATACCAGAAAATGCCATCTGGCATTCTTTCTCCTTCTTTTAAAAAGCATTGTATATTTAGTTATATTTTTTTTATACATTATGTACATTTTTCTTTTATTAATCTCATACTTTTGGTTTTGTTCAGTTGCCTACATATCACTCTAGAGAGACCAACAGAGACAGCAATGCTGCTGAGCCTCACTGGGGTTGGCTGTGTAGTGGCCACCCAGTGGTACACGAGCCTGCAGGAGAACGCAGAGAGGCTGGAGATCCTGTTCCACAGTGAGTGTTTGCTATTGCTTCAGACACCTCGTGTGTGCATCTCCCTGGCTACTGGCTTCTCTTCCTTTGCTCCTCACCAAACTTTGCCTGGAGTTTCCATAGGAGGTGAACTGTGTGCAGGAGCCACCGTGGTGTTGACAGGTTGATCTTGCAAACCGAACAGTAACCTGCTTAAAACAGTGTTAGTGGGGTGTTTGTTGATGGTCACATGGTAAGAATAGGATTTCTCCAGTGAGGAGCAGTGCCTTAGGACTTGGCAACCTGTAGTTACATCAGCTATGGGGAAAACAAAAACTGGAGTGAACTTACATTTTCAGAAATACATAACTGGATCTGTAAAGTATCCTTTTGCATTGAGTTTTAAATCTGAAAGCATCAGGCTCTAGGGTTGATACTTTGTAGTATTTCAAAACTATCATTAAAAACTCACAGAAACTAACATTTCTTTCCAGATTTGCTGAGCATCGGTAGAACAACAGGGCAGTCAGTCCGTATTCTTCAAAAGAGTGGAATTCACAAGAAAAGGGATTCCATTAAAAGTAAGAATTAAAAAGCTTAGTACAAGAGACTGTGCAAATTAACTAGAAGCTGGTAGATCTATGGGTGGTTCACAGGTAGAAGTGAAACCTTTCAGGTGACCTGTGACAATTTTCTGTGGCAATTCTTAAAAGAATTGAGAGTCAGAAGACCACTGATACAATATCATAATTGGAGTAGCCATTCTTATATAAATAAAATTTTTTGGGGATGCTCTGTCATAGTTGAGCAAAAGCTAAAGTTTACACTCCACTAAACTGTTACAAAATGAAGCAGTGGGACTGAAAAGGTACATCAGGAGCATAACATAAGCATAGTTTATAATCTATGGATTATAGACTGCAAGAAGATCAGCAGTTATTTTAGACAGTCTGCATGGTCAAGGCCACACTACCTGGTATCTTGCTGGAGAGGGAGGAATGATTTTCAGTAAAACAACTTTTAATGTACAGTCTATAAAATTGTATTGCTGTTTTTCAGTGTATGAGACTTACCTCTTAAAATAAGGGTTAATAAAATAAATTTTAGATATAACTTGCACTGTCATAGAATTGAAGAGAGAAGGAATTCAGATCAGAAATATTCCCTAGTTTTCCGTTTTTTTCAGAAAATGCTTCTTAGATATAGTGGCAAGAACATAAAAGAGTATTAATCAAAGAGAAGATGTGTTAAATTATGGCACTTAAAGCATTCTTCTATTCAGTCATATTCAGAAATAAGAATGTTTTTTGCCATATTTTTATAGCGGAAGTGGATTCTCTCAGCTCTTCTGGAGACAGAACAGAAGAACAGACTGCTCACACTTCCTCAGATCTTCCTGCAACTCATCCATCATTTTTCAACTGTGTGCTCTATGGTTTACCCAACGTCATTTTGGTGTAATTTGTGTCAGTCTTTCTGTGCTGGGAAACCTTCACTGTGCACAGGGAACCTTTGTTTTTTCAAAATCCCAAATAAGATTATTATGTGTATGGATTTTGTAATATGCTCTGTTAAACAGCAGTGCATTTTTAAATTACATGCTTTAAAACTATTTGTCGTGATAGCAGTAGAAATAGATGTAAAATAATTTAATACTTATGGAAAGTATAAATCTTTGATTGTTATTGCAACTAAAACCATTTTAAGAGTCTTTTTTTTCCCCAGTAAAATGGTGATGTGTTGTTTCCTGTAACAGTTTTTTTGTGTTTGATGCTGATAGAACATTAAAATGGCACTGAAAAGATACTATTCTTGGCTACCTGATGTGTTACAGTTAGAACCTGGTAAGAGCTCTAGGGCTATATAAACCATAATTACAAAATAATGACATGCAAAATACTTTCCGTATGCACACAATAGAATATAAATTTCTGCTTTCTTCCCTGTTGCTTTCACAATTTAATTAGATGACCTTATATGAACTGCAGCTGCTCTGTCAAACTGTGTTCCATAAGAAGCACGATTTTTATTCCCTTTTATAACCTAATTTAGACAGGACATATATTTTTTGTGGCATGTATTTGGGCATTCGATAACAATACCAAGTAAGAGGAGATCATAGACTGTTCTGAAGTTACCCAGTCTGAAAATTAAGGATTCAGTGTAAGATATTTTCAATTCTCTGAACTTGTCATGTTTTGCCACATACTGGCATAAGTCCCTTTCCCAAGTTCTGGCATCTATGTGTTTATTTTTAGGTCTCATGAGGTAATTTTTCATTGTGTCTTTGTGACACAGCTGCTTTTTCAAATCCCATTCACGGTGTTTGGGAAGCTCAAGGATTGCTGAGTTTGAAGAAGCAATTTCTCTTGAAGGAAGCAAGTGTTCACACTTGTTCAGTATAGCAAATATCCACTATATGGTTAATTTCTTATTTATTTCCAATAATAATTTTCACATCATACTTCAACACATTAATTGCTGTGAAACTGTGTTTCCCTGCACTTAATGTGTTGTTCACCTTGAATGCCACCTTTCTAGTGCTGTCTCTTTCTGTGTAACGTAAAAGGCTTTGGAAAAAAGTGTATTCAATGGGAATCATGGAGCCTTGGCTGCCTTGCTACAGGACAGTTCTTATGAATTTGTATTAACTTCCACCTTCTTGAAATAAGAAGTTTCATGAATGGTAAAGTGCAGAAAAGTTTCGATGCTTCAGAAATGTCAGTGCTGCTCTTTGAGAATAATCCAAGATAAAAACTTCAAGATTTCAGAGGTTTGAAAACCCACTGATATCCAGGTACAATGGTCTTATTCAATAATTTACTACTGTGGTTTATTTATGAAACTGATGGAAATAACTTAGCCTACTACTTAATCAGTAATGAAGTGCAGGCATAACCAAACCTCCTGGGGTGGTGGGGGTGTTCTCTGTATTGCTGTGCTAAATTGAAGTCAATAAAATCATCGTAGTAGGACTGCATGAGTGGATGATGAACTGTAGTTCAGAGTGAATGTGCACTCAGAAGACATCAGTTCATTCCTTCAGGAATTGGTGCCAGAAATAATGTCTTCTTTTCCATTATATGTTTGTAGCAATGTGCGGGCACATGATTATACAAAAGTAAAGAGTCACTTCAGGAGAAGATGCATAGTAGAAGTGGGAATGATATCAAAAGAAAAAGAGCACAGACACTTAACATCTTTTATATTTCTTTTACATTTACAATGGCAGTTTAACACGGGAGAGGAACCTGCTGCTTATTTATACTGAGGAAGGATTCAGCAGCTCAGCTGGTATAGTCTGAGAATCCATGATGCTTCTCTGTTAAGACAGTGAACAAGAATGGAACTGAGCAAGGCAAGGATGAGAAGGAATATTGTAGAAAATTGCTGTTTCAGAACCTGTTTTGGTTAAGGAACTAAAAGCTCAAAAATTTCTGATATCCTTCCAAGTGAGGTGCTCTCATAGCAAACTATCTGTGCTAACGATAGCAGGTGTTCTCCCCACAGAGGGAGCCAGCAGGTCCGGACAGTGCGAGCAAAAGCACTCTGAGTGCACCACAGAAGGGTTTGTTCATCTTGTAATGTATGACACCCCCAAGAGGGGGGCCTTCAAATTGGCTTCAGATTATTTGGAGAACTAAACAGTAGCATAGGTATAGAAGGTGCTGTACAGAAGGTCTTCATTCTTTAAATTTAATATGAAATGAGTGAACCAAACTTTTCAGCTGTAAATACAAAAGCAGAATTAAGACTGTTGATTTCTTATAAAAGTTTATGTAGAAAGAGCACTTGCTAATAACTGCAATGGAAAGAATGGGGATGAAATGCAGATGGGATTATATTTAACCATTCATTAAGTACGTATGAACAGCAAATTCAGAAAGGCAAGTTCTTTTATCATGGAGTCCCAGACTGGTTTGGACTGGAAGGGACCTTAAAGCTCATCCAGTCCCACCCCCTGCCATGGGCAGGGCCACCTTCCACTAGACCAGGTTGCTCCAAGCCCCATCTAACCTGGCCTTGGACACTTCCAGGGATGGGGCAGCCACAGCTTCTCAGGCAACCTGTGCCAGGGCCTCACCACCCTCACAGGGAGGGATTTGTTCCCAATATCCCATCTAACCCTGCCTTCTGGCAATGGGAAGGCATTTCCTCTGTCCTGTCCCTCCATCCCTTGTCCCAAGTCCCTCTCCAGCTCTCCTGGAGCCCTTTTAGGCACTGGAAGGGTCTCTCAGGTCTCTCTGGAGCCTTCTCTTCTCCAGGTGAACCCCCCCAGCTCTCCCAGCCTGGCTCCAGAGCAGAGGGGCTCCAGCCCTCAGAGCATCTCCGTGGCCTCCTCTGGCCTTGCTCCAGCAGCTCCATATCTTACACTGGGGACTCCTGGACTGGGTGCAGTGCCCCAGCTGGACTTTCACAATGGCAAAAAATTATTACATTAAGCAATAAATTTTTTTATGAAATAAAAAGATGAAATTAAAATATTGTTAAATACTTCTTTACTTTTTTGAGGAGTATTCTAGAGAATGCTGCCCATTTATTTGACTATGAGCTCTTAATTTTTACAATATTATATATTGTTCAGCAACTTGCAGGAAAAAAATCCTACCAACTAATGACCCAGGAATAAATTACAGTAGATACAGCTCAGGACATATGAGCTCTCTCGTTGAACGACATTGGCACAAGCCCAAACAACAAGAATAAAAGCTTCTGAAAATATTTCATCTACGTGGCACCACATCATTCCCATGCACTGTATCCATTCATACAAGAAATATTAAACAGTTAGTGCTATTCCATGTATCAAGGGCTTTAAAATACCTTTCTGAATTATGTCTCAGCAACATAACAAATCACATTATCAATTAGCTTTTATAACAGAAATGACATTTCATAATATATTTGAGCATGAAAAGAATTGGTCAGCTAAAATTTATGTAATCTGAAAAATGTGAGGAGGAAAAAAATCATGGTGAATTTATTGATAATATTCTAGGACAAGAACATAATTTGAGTAGTAGGTAGCTGTCCAAGAAAAGTGTGTAGTTGTAAATGGTCTGCAGGAAAGAACTGCAGAGAGTTTGCCACAAAATGATAAAAAACAAAAAGAGAAGCTCTGACATTAGTCCCTGGTGTCACCTCTTTAAGATTCTGCTGCCATCAGCAGTCACTGGAGGATTTCTCATCCCATGTGCTGGGCTTGTCCCCTCAGCAGGGCTCTCTCCTCGCTTTGCACAGGTGGAGCATATCCCAAAACATGGCAGCTGATGGCTGTGGGTGTTTGTAGGCAGGGAAATAACAGCAGATTTGAGGTTGTAGTACAGATCATTCCCATGACTATTTAAGCCCATTCATCTGCGTCTGAACACTAATTTAGTGACTTTACAGCCTGCTAAGTCTTCTGCCCCTTGCTTTCACACCCTGTCTGACCCGAAAGTTCTCCAGGAATGGGATATCAAAGGGAAGCCAACTATCCTATGAGTATAAATTATTTCTTCTGTTTAGTTTGGATGAAAGATAAAGCTACCAGGAAAAGCTGCTGAAAGTACCTCTCGGGTGTTAATTCAGGCCTCAACTACAGTGTCTCCATGTGGATACAGTGACAGATAGTTACAAACAGAGGTTTTAAGGATGTGGTCAAGATAAATCTGAAGGGATGCTTATGTGCTCTGACATACTGACTAGTCTGTGTAAGACCCAAGTCATTCCTCAGGTGATGAGAGAGTGTTTCTCAGCCACTGAGAGCAGAATGTGTGGGATCTTTCATGAACGTGGTAGGTGCCATTTTCAAAACCAGTAGTCACAGTAGCCTTTATTTCAGAAGAGTGGCAACATATTTAATAAATTGCAGTTTTCCAGATGGTTACCTAAGACTTCTGGTACGAGGAATAATTTTAGATCACTTAATCCCATTTTTATAAAAATGCAGTATGAAATATTAGCAATGTTCCCGGTGCATGACATATCAATTATAATATTTCCTGAAATATGAGTCTTGAGACCTGTTATTATGTGTATGTATACTGTTAAATATAGTAAAATAAACATTGTAAACACAGTAGTACAGTATTCTTCCACTGTCAAAAGAGTGTTATAAGTCCTGGGTTCAATACAGTTGAAGGCAACAAAATAAAGACCCCTTTCAGAAGTAAAGACCAATATCTTGGGTCAGGAAGGTACAAGAAATTAAAAGGGCAATAATCTTTGATAAACATAATCCTTAGTGTTTTGTGTCACCATCAGCAATTGAAGATGTCATTAGTAGACATTATATGCATTTGAATAGCTTTGCAAAAATTTCCAAACATAACATCTCCTTCTTTTCACTTGGCTTTTCAGTTTGGTGGCAGTGTCCAAATCTGTGTGAACCACTGAGGGAGATACTTCTTTATGACCGAATGACTCTTGTGATTTATTTTCCCTTTGTTTCATAAAATGCTTCAGCCTGACACATGATGGCAGAAGAGGGTGAAAACTGGCAAGATTAAACAGAGTCAGTTCTGAGCTAGAGCACTGCATCCTTTCTGTGACTGAATGTTCATGACCTGTCCCTTTTCTTGATGGCCTCATACTTGACATTTAGCATTTGAAATTGTCAGGACAAACCAGATGCCCGCAAAGATGTACAGCTTTTCCAGGAACTAGGGCTGCACTAATTAAGAGTTTGTGTTTTACTTTCTGAACAGGCATCTAAAAATCTTTTTTATAATTATCTGGCCTTTTTCATGACTTAATTTGCTTAAAGAACGTTATTGTCACAAGACAAGTTTCTTAGCAAGGCGGGGGTGGTTCAGACTTC